TGGCTTATTTTTTGTATGTTCAAACACACGTGAAAACATGCATTTCGGGAAAGAAATATATATAACAAGTTTTATTTGTTCACATCAGATGGTTATTACCAGGCTAAGCCAGACAACTGACAAATAATTTTGCACATTTTTATACTATAAATATTCACATACAATTACAACATGTAGACATTAATCTCCCTTGCTTACAAACATCTAGGTATTAGGATAATATGTAAAGAGGAAAACTACAGACTAAACATAATAACAGTTAATAATTAATCTTCATCTTATTTATTAGAGTATCTATGTCGACATAGGAGTTTTCAGTTTCTAGAATTTCGATTAATTTTGTTCGAAGTAGAAAATGTTGGGAGAATCCTGTGCTCTTCAACAAAGGTACCCTACCTCACATCCATTGTTCTATTGTAGTGACGATAGAAACAATAAGCATCAAAGCATATAATTCCTTTTTAAATTGATCCAAATCCCGCCATACGTTAGCGTGTGGGGAAGTCCTAAAAATAGTTCATTATTGTTGATTCATACCTTCGCTTTCAATGCCATAATAATAATGTGTGAGTAAAAATGAAAACAAAAATGGATACTGTCAGCTAAGTTTCGTGTTTATTCCCAAGTCTAAGGATCCGCTTTCAGAGGAAAAAAAAAACCAAACAAATTAAAACAAAGCAAAAGATAAATAACCACAAGATAAGCTAATCCTTTCTGATGGAGGTAACTATGAATAAACTGAACTATCGTTTTCATTATCACAAGGCTAAAAGAGAATCATACAATCTGTTGAGCTTAAATTTACTCCAAAAATGACAACTGCAATAAGTGCTCTAAATTCCAGCTCCTTTCCACTCATGTATACCTAACGTTTCTTGCTTTTTGCATAATTCATCGTATACTTCTTGGCGTTAACTTATCTGAAAAACCGCTATGAACAATGTTCTCTATAAGACATGTAAGAAAACATCTATTTACAATAAAAAAAAAAAGATTGAATGATCTTATCAGGAGTCGTATGGAAGGTTATTGGACTGATAAATTGTTATATTATACTCACAACAAAACATCTTATCCCTGATTGGTCAATAACCGGTATAAATTGTGTTATAGTATGCCGAATTACTGTTACAGCAAAACAAACAAAGAGTATGGGCTGCATAAAGTTCACGCCCCTGACAACTTGAGTGACGTGCTTCAGGTGTATATTGCGATTCTTCCCATTCATAACAATACATACATAACAAGTGGAGAAATAATGTTTAAGGCCTGCAAAAAAACCCAATTCCCGAGAGAGGCCCGACGGTTTCTGAGAATACAGCAATAGTGCCTTTAGATACGCTGTTACTAAGATATTACATTTAAGTTTTGTTTTGCCCAGGTGTTAAGAGGCGAAATTGTTTAAAAGATGTTTAAAATTAACTCTTTTATCAGAAGATGACTTGTAAATTAAATATGAAGAGGTCACCATATACGGATAAAGACCAAATTTTTGACAGGTGCAAAAATCTTAAGCTAAAAGTTCATGCTGCTGTAACCTTAACGCATCTTCGTTTGCTGCTTCAACGTTAGTTATGGGAGTTTCCATTGAAGAGTCGCAAAGCGTTGCATTAACTAGCGGACATAAATCTTCCAAAAGTCGCCGCGCGACAAATTGTTCGCCATGTCATCACATTGCCATCTGTTATTGCCTGGCCACGTGATCCAATGATGGTAATACTTGATAAATGCTGAGAACATATACAGCTCCTTATGCCCTTCATGTCCCCATTTTCCAACATGATACACGCCATTTTCCATCCCCCATTCTGCGCATCTACTTGCAAGGACTGAATTATCTCCCTTGAGTTTTTCAAATGAACCACAGGCTTTGGAAAAAACGTCGGTATCACCGGCAAAGAACCTGGCTACAGCTTCACCAGAGCTGTTCGCGGCCGTTTTGACATGAAACGTTCGTCCATGTTGCTCTTTATGGCAGTGGAATCTCAGCTGAGTGAAAAATATGCGGGATATACAAACTATATGCCAACTTGAACATGACTGTCTGCATTTATCTTCAGGAAAGGGTTTTAAAAGGAGTCCCCAATTGAAAATTTACACTACCCTCATTGCACTTCAAAATCCTGTATTTTTTTTTTGGCAACGTTTAAAATAGAACGTTCTAGAACAGTCCCACCACTTACGTGTTGCACAATGTTTTCCTTTGTATCTTGGATGACACTGGCCGCTTTTAGTTGTTTGTTTTCGCCCGCGAGAAACATCCATGCAGGAGACCTGATTAGAAAAACAGAAAGGTGAACTTTTCTCCTCCATGTCTGCCATCGATCGTTGTTCAGAGTAAACAAAACTTGTTTTCTCGTTATCAGTATTCAGACGCTTAATGTGCGTTTTCAAAAAGGAAATTTGACGTTACCCTTACACTCGTGTCAACACTCAGAGCACGCTATACAAGTAAAAAAGAAACCTTTTGGTTCGCAGGTTGTTGCAAAACAGGTTGAATTGCAAAAAAAATTATGATAGTTAAGACTCGCTTGGAGAAACGTTTGCCCGAAATGCCTGCCTGGTGTACCGTTTACGAAGTGAACGCCTACTTGTAACTAAATAACAATTGATTATCTCATTTTTCATAACTATACAGCAAAAGTTCCGAAACATAGTTCTTGGCAGTGAACAAGATAGGAAAGTTATCAACAAACCTGCTTAACCCAGAACCCACCTGAACAGAGCTGTAGTATGTAGATCCTTTCTTCTTTTTAAAATGACCTGGCTTCATCTGTCGTGTTTTATTATTCAACTCACAGCTACGTTTTCCATTGCTGTCACCGGGATGAACATTAATCGACTTACAGCTGTTATTTCCCATACATTTTAACTGGCATTCAAACTCGTCCTCAACAACATTTGTCTGGATAACATGACCCACCAAGGCATGGTCTGTAAGGCAAAAAAAAGTTCTTTCTAGTAACTACTAGCTATGCAAAGAGAGTATAAGAATCGGTTGGTTTTGGTTTTCTTTTTTTCGAAGTATTTACTCACCGACTTGAGTTTCAAAAACGCTTCCACAAAAGTCTTTGTTTGTCAGGACAAATGGGATTCCCAAAAGGATGTTAAGAGTAACAGTGGCAAACTGGGTCCGCCATAAAACTGCCATGCTAAAATTGGCCGTTTTATCTTGTCCAGGTGGAGCTCCTTAGTTTTCTTGTTGCATATCAGCTTTCTTATATTTGCCTTCCTCTGTAAGCAGAGCGTCATTGACTGACAATTGAAATACTTATTGTCTATAATTCATGATTCCTTTTTATTCATCGCTTTATTGCTCTTCAGTTTGCATAAAAATTTCTTTTGTTCGTTGCAGTAGTATAAGAGTTTGTTTCTGCTCTCATCATTATCATTGATATTATAATTCGCCAAATCAACAGAGCGGCTTTTGTTTTGAGGAATTTCCAATTAACAGATCGACTTTGCTCACGAAATACATCCACACAGGAAGCCTGACATAATTAATACAAAATAAAAGAAAATTGATTTTTTTACTTTATTTTTATTAGCATGGCACGAGAGGACAAAAACCTATACATTTTAACCTTTGAGTAACTTTTTTTCTCTTAATTAAGAAAGTGATCACGAATAGCCGTTCTAAATAATATACTCTTTTTAAACTAAAGAACTATTGGGAACGTTGATAGAGTTGCCGAGAACATACCAAAAACGTAATTAACTTGAGACTTAGGTGTACCTAATAATTTGCATTAGGCTACAAACTTTTTGTGAACAGGTAACATTACCAACTCGTGCTTCAACACATTACTTTTGCAGAAACTTAACGGATATATAACGGCCTCGGGCAACATTTTCAAGACCTCAGTCACAGTTTTTCACCATACGAATCGACCCTAAGCCGGTAAATAATATATCTATTTTTTAAAAACCTAAGGAAATTCTTTCCGAAAGAATCCGAATGAAACGGCAAGATCCTCCGTAAACTGATTTGTTAGCGAGTAAATGGTAGTTAAAATTAAGGTGATGCAAATTAAAGAGATAATAACTATCGGCTTGAGGTAGTGACCGGCGTCTTTGCGTAAAAAATACTGCCCAGCCGGAAAAACGAGGTATATTTATGAAAAATGGTAACGGAGTAGGGATGTACTCTGCGACTCACTAAAGCGTTACCGTTGCCCGTGGTCAGAGATAGGAAAATACTACTGACCGGGTAAAGAACCAATCAGATTGCGGGATTCGTTACCATGCCCTCTGAAAAAAAAAAAAAAAAAAAAAATGATGTCCTACGCGACTACGCGACTAGTCGAGAGCATTAAACAAGAATGCAATATAAACCTTTCAAAACCTTAGGGAGCCTTTTATGTGACACAGATGAACAGTGTTTTTCGCGCGCCTTGATTGGCTGGTGCGAAAGTGATTAATGAGCAGCAAGAGTTTAATTTTCGACCATTTTCGCGACATCTTGACAAAGACAAACTAATTCATTAGGCTCTGTGTGCTATGTACTAAAATAATTCTTCACTTCGGTGTCAGTGAAAGTGCTGGATGTTTACTTGGCCGTTTTGCCTCTCTAGCTCCACTTTGGTAAATAATTGTTAATCACTGTTTCAAAAAATTGATTTTAGGTACAGTCGAACCTCAATTATCCGGACCTCGATTATCCGGACTATTCGATTATCCGGACTTTTTTATCTAGTTGTGACCTTGAAAACTCAAAGTCACAAAAAGCCCAATAATCCTTTCAAAAGACTGTTAAAACAGCGTATCATCCTGTGCGCTTTTCAAAATTCGAAAGTGCGACGAGACAAAGAAATATTCTGATGCGTTCAGCTGATATCTGATTGGCTCAAAAAATAGAAACTGTTATCTGGAGAGCTTAGGAAAAATGTAAGTTTTTTGTTAAATAGTATGATGAATTTAGATTTGTGTTATTTTTTCGAAGATACCTCGAGTAGGCGAAAATTCTCGATAACCGCAAGACAGTGTTACTTCTTATTCATCAATCTTTTCTCTTTTAAAGTCCAGAAAGATTACAATGTCCTCTGAGCGATGTCAGATTTTGTTGTCGTTTTCATAGCAGTAATTTCCTCCCTGTTAACCTCCTCAAACATCATGGGGAATTCTGTCGTTTGTTGTATCATAAGGACGAATCGGGATATGAGGTCAGTGGCCTAACGAGTGTTATTTTAGTGAGTTAGAGCAGGACGTCTATTTATTTTCAAGGCAAAGTTAAAGGAGAGGTCGTATTACGAGCCAGCAGGGCATTTCTAGCCGCAGTGTATCCTAGTTTAAGAGGCATGAGACGATTGGGAGTATGGCTACTCTACCTCCCTACCCTCTCTAAGTCCAGTCCATCTAAATCTACCACCCAGGCTACCCAGGCTACCACCCAGTAGTTACCCCTGTATACTCCTGGGTGGAGAGAGGCATTGTATAAAAGTGTCTACTTTTGAAGAATATTGACGTGCTTGTGAACAGAACAAGGGTTAAGTTCGCTGTTGATATTGGTGTTGATGTCCCTGTTACTTATGATTTGGTTTGTAGCACTGAGCAAATAAGTTTTTATCTTTGAAGAGTAAACGAAGTGAATAGTGTGTTATTTCAGGTTAGTCCGTATAAGGAAGACACAAATTGAAAGTAAATTCTCATTCTTTCTCTTCTTTTTATTTGACACGAGATGAAACAACTTTTATGGCGTTTCACTCAATCTAGCATTACATAAGAAATCAGCAAGCCACCGGCTGAATTAAAAGTCGATAAAATCATATAGTGACAAGAACTCTTCAATTTTCGATTTGCAGTGTTTGATTAAGGTGCAAATGGGAGTCACGTTTTATTCAGGCCTCATCCTACTTGTCTTGCAGATGAATCTTTGCAGCCTGTCCAAAACACCAGACGGCGAATGCAATTCAGCGGCCACACTTAAGGCATGCACAAATGAGTCAATCTTGGCTGACCGTGCGCCCATTTTTCGTGTAAAATTTAAATAGGAAAACGTAAGCAACGACCATTGTGACTCAAAATTCCGTTCCTAGAGAACTGTAAAGGGAAATGAAAGTAGAGAACAGGAAAACTAAAGAATTTTCGCATGCAAAGGTTATTTACTTAGAGGTGTCTGGTTGTTTTAAACTCATAAAGGTTATAAGCTTTTAAGACACCGCGGCCCATTGTGAGACAACTTGGTCCTAGCAGCGTGAAAGCGTCTGCGCGTGTGCAGACGTTTGACCGCTGTGTTGGTGAATGTAAACCTACTCCTATTTATAACACGCTATATTTCTTATTCAAAACATGAATGATGATCACCAAAGCAAACCAACATTGATCGCACACTAATAGTGATGCTATTTATATTTCTACTTGCTAAAATACCTAAACTTCATGCAGTGTCGAAAAACCAAAACCAAAATAATCACACCCAATAATCAGAACAAAGGTTAACTCTTTAACTCCCAGACCAAATTTGCAATTCTCCTTACTGTCAACCATACAATTCGACCATATAATTCTGGATGTCCTGGAAATGGAGACAATGCCCTAACACAATATTTGCCCATTAAAAATTTGTTAAGTGTAACAAAATTAATGTCTTTTAATTTTTGTGAAACCTTAACTGTTTAGTTAATATCAATTATCCATCTCGAATAAGCAGGTTATGTAATGGGAGACTTCTTGGAAACTCAATTAAATAAAATTTGTAAATGAAAAAATGAAAAAACAGCTTCCTTCAATTCTCTAGCCAACAGAGCAGGCGTAATATTGGGAACGAGTGCTCAGTTTCTTCTCGGTGAACATCCTACCTGCAATCTTTTATTTTAACAAAAACAAAAAGATGGGGCGAGAAATAAATCGCTCCAAGGGGGTGAGTAATTTTACAAAAAAAAGATTCCTTTTAAATTGTTCCAAATCCCGCCATACGCTAGCATGTGGGAAAGTCCTAAAAATAGTTCATCGTTCTTGATTTAAAACTTCGCTTTCAATGCCTTAATAATAATGTGTGAGTAAAAATGAAAACAAAATGGAGACTGTCAGCTAAGTTTCATGTTTATTCCCAAGTATAAGGATCTGCATTCAGAGCTAAAAGAAAAAACAAATTAAAACAAAGCAAAAAACAACTAACAACAAGATAAGCTAATCCTTCCTGATGGAGGTAACTATGAATGAACTGAACTATTGGTTTCATAACGACAGGGCTAAAAGAGAATCGTACATAGTACTAAAATCTATTGAGCTTAAATTTACTTCGGAAAATGGCAACTGCAATAAGTGCTCTAAATTCCAACTCCTTTCCTACTCATATCTGCCTAACGTTTCTTGCTTTTTCAATACTTCGTTGTGTACTTCTTGGCTTTAATTTATCTGAAAAAACCGCGATGAACAGCAACAATATTTATAAGACAAATAGGAATACACCTATTTAAAATGAAAAAAAAAGATTGAATGATCTTATCAGGAGTCGCGTGGAAGGGTAATTTGACTCATAACTGCGAGACCTCTCATCCCTGATTGGTCAATGATCGATACAAAATGTGTCATAATATGCCGAATCATTGTTCTTACAGCAAAACCAACAAAGAATGCGGGCTTCATAAAGTACACGCCCCTGACAACTTGAGTGACGTGCTTCAGGTGTGTATTGCGATTCTTCCTATCTATAATAACACATAAAATTTGAGAAATAACGGCTAAGATTTGCAAAAAATTCCAATTCCCGAGAGGGGCCCCATGGTCTCTGAGAATACAACGATAATGCCATTAGATACGTTGTTACAAAGATATTAAATTAACTTTTGTTTAGTCAAGCTGTTAAGATGATGAGTTGATTCAAAGATCTTTAAAATCAACTCGTTTATCAGAAGATGACTTGTACATTAGATTTGAGAAGGTCACCAATTACGGATAAAGAACGGATTTTCGACAGGCGCAAAAATCTTAAGCTAACAGTTCAAGATGCTCTAATCTTAAAGTATATTCGTTTGCTCCTTCAACGCCAGTTACGGGGTTTCCACTAAAGAGTCGCAAAGCGTTGCATTAATTAACGGACATAAATCTTCCAAAAGTCGCCGCGCGTCAAATCGTTTCGACTGTCATCACATTCCCATCTGCCATGGCCTGGCCACGTGACCCAATGATGGTGACCATAAATGAATGCTGAGTACATATACAGCTCCTTATACCCTTCAAGTCCCCATTTTCCAACATGATAAGCGCCGTTTTCCCAACCCCATTCCACGCATCTACTTGCAAGGACTGAGTTGTCTCCCTTGAGTTTTTCAAATGAACCACAGGCTTTGGGAATAACGTCGGTATCACCGCCGAAAAACCCGACTACAGCTTCACCAGAGCTGTTCGCGGCCGTTTTGACATGAAACGTTCGTCCATGTTGCTGTTTACGGCAGTGGAATCTCAGCTGAGTGAAAGATATGCAGGATCTCAGCTTTCGCATACCGCCAGGAGAGAGAACCATTCTGTTGTTGCTGTAACGACTCACTCCTTTATATGTCTTTTCAATTGTCAAGTTGGTTGGGGGCACAGTTCCCCCAGCAATAACGTTATAGACTAGGAGCCAGCCTCCTGCCAGAAATTAAAAAAGAAAATAAGAATCACATTTCTTGGGAGACCGCAAACAAGTCTTCCATGACCCTCTGTTGTTCTTACAACAAAAAGGTGGGCTACTTCTAGTTATGCCATTGCACCACAGCGCAAAGGTACGGTCTCTCCCCCTACCGACCTTATCTACTTAGAGAAGACAAGATAGCAGAATAGTTTTGTTGGCTTGTTATCACCTCATTGGCTCCAGATTGAAACCCTGCTTCGACAACAAGCTGGAGTTTTTCTCTGTATTTCAGTTCGTACTACTCTAGAAGTGTTTGGCTCCAGCCTTTTGAAACTTTCACTTGAAATGCGGGCCTCACCTTAAACTCCTCCCCTAACGCAAATGTTTTCGTTTGTCCTCGTTTGTCAGTAGCATTCTTTTTATGTTTTTACTGTATTTAATTATTTCGCGTGTGTTTTGTTTTGTTTTTTTTTCCTCAGGGACAAACCCCCCGACGGTTTTTCCCTGCAGCGTCGCTCTTCTATACACGGCCAATATTGCAGAAACGAGTTATCAGTACAGTGCTTACCTCCATCAGTTGTCATGTCACAAAATACTTTTAAAGAACTTCCATTTTTCTCAGGGTCGATCCAGTACTCTCCGTCTCCTTTAGAGTCCCCAGCTTCCAAAATCTGCTTGCAGGACAGTGCAGAATGACGGGAAGACCAGCCAGGTATAGCTGCGAATTTAAATATGTATTATTCTTTAACGTTGTGGTTCAGGGTCAATTGCCAAATAATTTCGGATGTCCTTACAGGAATTACCAGGCTGATTGTAATATAAGCCTCTCAAATCATTTCGAATGTCCTTACGGGAATAACCAGGTTGATTGTAATATTAGTCTCTGGTAGCTGAAAAGGAAATGAGCTTTGATCTTGATGGGTTTATTAATCTTCACACACCGGTTAAGACGCTGAAAAAAGAGACAAAAGCTATGTGCAAACTTGAACATGACTGTCCGCATTTATCTTCAGAAATGGGTTTTAAAAGGAGTCTTCAATTGAAAATTTACACTATCCTCAGAGCACTTGATAGTCATGTATTTCGTTTAACAACATAAATCACATCTGAAAAACCGCTGGTATCTCTTCCGAAAACTGGAAACCAAATGCCCCACAAAGGAAAAACAGATAGAGACACCAAAACCAAAAAACCTAATTTTTTCAGCGCAAAAACCAAAAATTTGATAAAAGAAATAGCCAGAATCACAAAACCGAAAATCCCAACTTCCCCCCTTTAAATGGTATTGATTCACGACCCCTGAACTCTGACGTTGGAGCCATATGGAAACAGCTTAAGTTTGATGATGCCATTAATTAAAGAGAGCATCACTTGAATTTTCAAAAAGACGCGCACTGGATTTGAGTTAAGATAGCAACCAACCGGATTCTCTGTGACCTTTGTTTTCAGTAAACCTTTTCTAGAACAGTCCAAGTACTCACGTGTTTCACAATGTTTTCCTTTGTATCCTGGATGACACTGGCCGCTTTTAGTTGTTTATTTTCGCCCGCGAGAAACATCCAAGCAGGAGGCCTGATTAGTAAGACAGACAGGTGAACTTTTTTCCTCCCGTTCTGCCATCGATCGTTGCTCAGAGTAAACAAAGCTTGTTTTCTCGTTATCAGTATTCAGACGCTTAATATGCACTTTCAAAAAGGAAATTTGACGTTGCCCCTACACTAATGTCAACACTCAGAACACACTTTGTAAGCAGAAAAGAAACCTTTTAGTTCGCGGGTTGTTGTAAAACGGGAATTGCAAAATGATGAAGATAGCTAAAACTCGTTTGGAGAAACGTTTGCCCGAGATTTTAAACTGTCTGGTGTTCTATTTACGAAGTGAACGCCTACTTATAAGCCAATAACAATTGATTCTCTCAGTTTTCATTAGTATATAGCAGTAGTACCGAAACATTGATCTTGGCAGTGAATTACATAGGAAAGTTATCAACAAACCTGCTCAACCCAGAACCCACCTGAACAGAGCTATAGTATGTAGATCCTTTTTTCTTTTTAAAATGACCTGGCTTCATCTGCCGTGTTTTATTATTCAACTCACAGCTACGTTTTCCATTGCTGTCACCGCGATGAACATTGATCGACTTACAGCTGTTATTTCCCATACATTTTAACTGGCATTCAAACTCGTCCACAACAACATTTGTCTGAATAACATGACCCACCAAGGTATGGTCTGAAAGGAAAAAAGCGTTATTTGTAGTTACCAGCTAAAGATAGAGAGTGTAAAAATGTTTTTTTCTTTCATTTTTTTGGTTTGGGTTTTTTTTTTTGAAACATTTACTCACCGACTTGAGTTTCAAAAGCGCTTCCACAAAAGTCTTTGTTTGCCAGGACAAATAGGATTCCCAAAAGGATGTTCAGAGTAACAATCATAAACTGGGTAAGCCATAAAACAGCCATGCTAAAATTGGCCGTTTTTATCTTTCCCAGGTGGAGCTCCTTAGTGATCTTATTGCGTATCAGCTTTCTTATATTTGCCTTCCTCTTTAGGTAAGTAGAGCGTCATTGACTCACAATTGAAATACTTATTATCTATAATTCATGATTCCTTTTTATTCATCACTTTATTGCTCTTCAGTTTGCATGAAAATTTCTTTTGTTCGTCGCAGTAAGAGAAAAGTTTGTTTCCACTTTTATCATTATCACTGATATTATAATTCGCCAAATCAGCAGGGTGACTTTTGTTTTAAAGAATTTGCAATTAATGGGTCGACTTTGCTGACGAGAAACATCCACACAGGAAGTCTGACATAATTAAAACAAAATAAAAGAAAACTGACTTTTTCACTTTGTTTATATTTTACATGGCATCGAGAAGAAAATCCATTTCATCCTTTGAGTAACTATTTTTCTCTTAATTAATTAACATGGATTACATCCATTTAGCTCTGATCACCTTATATCACGTAAAAGTAACGAATAGCCGTTCAAAATCATACACTCTTTTTAAACTAAAGAACTATTGAGAACGTCGATACAGATGCCGAGAACATACCAAAAACGTAATTATCCTGAGAGTTAAAGATGAAGCGTACCTAATAATTTGCATTAGACTGCAAACGTTTCGTGAACAGGTGACATTACCAACTCGTGCCTCAACACATAATCTTTGCAGAAAAAGAACGGATACGTAAGAGATACCTTTAAACGCTACGTCTGTACGAATTAACATATCTTTTTCTCGTCATTCTCTGCTCTCCGATCGATAAATAGAAAAACAAGGTCAAGTTCCGAATTTCTCTGCCTGTAACCCATAAAATTAACAAGATCGTTTTATGCTCAATGAGAAAGACAAAATGAAGACCCCCCATATTTGCTTCGCCTTTAGCAGCCAAATCAGTTAGAGCTATATTTTTTTAGCACTCTTACGCTTTTCTCGGGAATGCATCTGTTTAACCATAAATAACAAATAGAGAAGCCTTGACTGTGCTCTCTTATGTTGTAGATCACGCAGGAGCGGCCAAAGCACGAAAGAAGCAGGAAGAAAGAATACTTAAAATTCCCCACACATTACTATCAATTTTCAAAATTAGAGAGAAAGAATCCTTAAAATTTCCTACACATTACTTTCAAAGCAAAATTTATTGCCAAAGCGAACGACGGTGTCGTCAGGGTGCTCCATGCTGTCATAAAGCACGCTACAATAAGCCAATAGGAATCCTTGTTATAATGGTCCAAATAATCAGATTGGTTGACAAGACTAAAGCTGTCAAAAATATCAATCCATCCCAGTTCACAACCATCAAAGTTCACAATCTGCAATAGTTTACAAACTAAAATAGTTAGGCAGGTCGAATTTACCACTTCTGCCTGAAGTTTTTCTCTATTGTTAGTCTGAAGTTAGTCTCTAATGCAGAATCTGAAACTGAAATGTTCAGTGAAATCCGGCCAAATGATAACTCATAAAAATACGCAAGTTTTTTTTACATAACAATCAGAGAACAAACTGCTTAAGGCGTGTGTTTTATGAATGTACGATAGCCGAATTCACAGCAACATGAAGATTGCTTGGAATGACAGCGCCGTCAAACTCGGCTGTTTCTACACTACGATTACCGTAAATCGCCATGATGAGTTAGCTGTGATGGACCTCAGCATGATCGCAGTCGCTCTGAAACCTTCCTGATTAGCATGAAATTTAACAATTGTGCCAGTTTGGCTATATTTTTCATAATTTCTGTTTTGTTCTGTTTTGTTTTTGAACACAAAACTTTATATACTATACCAGTGTTAACTATGTTTGATTTTTATTATCGTACATAAGCTTGCAATCTAATTAAGTTAGAAAACCTTAAAAACTCGGTCTGTTTAGTTTTCGTCTCTGTTTGCGTTGTAATAACGTAAATTACGGTGCTTGGCATGTTTCCAAACCTTTGTTTGGTTCTTCGGTTGCTACTTGCCAGCTCGTTTGTTCCGAAATTTCACTTTCAATTAACGAAAACAAGCAAAAGAGAAGTCCGAGAGAAGTCCGAAAAATGGTCAGACACAATACAATTTGGCAGATGGCGTGACAGCTTTAGCCAAGCTCTGTACTCTGGAAGAGCACACTCTTTCAACCAATGACAGCACGCTCTTTTTCAGTTGATATTTTAGTCTTTTTTAGTGCTTTTGAAGGCTTCTTTTCCTCTCTTTTTTAGAGAAATCGCTTTTTTTCATAAAACAAAAGTGCGAGTCTCAAACAAAATTGCAAGCCTAGTCATGTTTTTTTTTTCTTTTTTGAAGGAGTTAGCAAACTTCTCCAAATTTTCACAACATTTCGAAAGCAACCTTAAAGGTTCGATGGTCCGAAGTATTTGATTGGCTAATGAGGGAACAGTTGTCAATCACAAAGTGAACCTTATCCATCATGTCAATTTCAATTGGCTTTTGGTGTGGAGACCCATCAATTCGTTTTATAATTGAATTAAAAAAATCAACAAAACTTCATTTCTCTTATCCGGTGGTATGAAATCCAGCCAAGTTGTGGCTCACAAAAACGTACACTTTTTCGGTAAACAATTACGAAACAAAGAGCTAAAAACTTGCGGATGAAAAATGCAGCAAGATTGACCGAACTTGTGACAGGTGGGACGATCTGAAAGCTGCCTTTCTGTTTGGAGGAAATGTTAGAGCGACCTTTCAGTTGATAAGTCGTTAAAAATTCAACTTGAAAACATACGAATATAATCCATAATCCAATATATTATTATATATGATATATTGGCTTATTTGTTGTAGGTTCAAACACCCGTGAAAACATGCATTTCAGGAAAGAAATATATATAACAAGTTTTATTTGTTCACATCAGATGGTTATTACCAGGCTAAGCCAGACAACTGACAAATAATTTTGCACATTTTTATACTATAAATATTCACATACAATTACAACATGTAGACATTAATCTCCCTTGCTTACAAACATCTAGGTATTAGGATAATATGTAAAGAGGAAAACTACAGACTAAACATAATAACAGTTAATAATTAATCTTCATCTTATTTATTAGAGTATCTATGTCGACATAGGAGTTTTCAGTTTCTAGAATTTCGATTAATTTTGTTCGTAGAAGTAGAAAATGTTGGGAGAATCTTGTGATCTTGAACAAAGGTATCCTACCTCACAGCCATTGTTCTATTGTAGTGACGAAAGAAATAATAAGCATCAAAGCATATAATTCCTTTTTAAATTGATCCAAATCCCGCCATACGTTAGCGTGTGGGGAAGTCCTAAAAATAGTTCATTATTGTTGATTCATACCTCCGCTTTCAATGCCTTAATAATAATGTGTGAGTAAAAATGAAAACAAAAATGGAGACTGTCAGCTAAGTTTCGTGTTTATTCCCAAGTCTAAGGATCCGCTTTCAGAGGAAAAAAAACCAAACAAATTAAAACAAAGCAAAAGATAACTAACCACAAGATAAGCTAATCCTTCCTGATGGAGGTAACTATGAATGAACTGAACTATTGGTTTCATGATGACAAGGCTAAAAGAGAATCATACACAGCACTACAATCTGTTAAGCTTAAATTTACTTCAGAAATGGCAACTGCAAGAATTGCTCTAAATTCCAGCTCCTTTCCACTCATGTATACCTAAAGTTTCTTGCTTTTTTACATATACCTAAAGTTTCTTGCTTTTTAATACATATTTCATTGAAAAAAAAAAAGATAGAATATCTTATCAGGCGTTAATTTATCTGAAAATCCACGATGAACAAAATTCTCCCTATAAGACAATAATAAGAATAAATCTATTTACAATGAAAAAAAATATTGAATGATCAATCAAAGGAGTATGGGCTGCATAAAGTTCACGCCCCTGACAACTTGAATGACGTACATCGGGTGTATATTGCGATTCTTCCTATCCATAATAGTACATACAACTTGAGAAGTAATGTTTCAGACATGCAAAAAATACCAATTCCCAAGAGAGGCCCGACGGTTTCTGAGAATACGACAATAGTCCCTTTGATACGCTGTTACTTACTGCCAAGGTGTTCAGAGGGTAAGTTAATTCAAGATCTTTAAAATGAACCTGTTTATTAGAAAATAACTTGTTTATTAAATATGAGGAGGTTTTTAATATATTACAGTAAAGTTTTGTTTTGCCTAGGTGTTAAGAGGATATGTTTATTCAAAGATCTTTAAAATGAACTTTTTTATCAGAAGATGACTTTTTTATTAAATATGAGGAGGTTACCACTTATGAATAAAGGATGGATGCAGAAAGTTTCTAAACTCCTCACATCGTAGTACCGAATGCCTGTGTCTCAAAAGTAAATATCAAATGTTTTAAAAGGCAGAAGAAACAAAGTTATCAACGGACATAAATTCTCCAGAAGTCCCCGGATGTAACCATTTTCTCAAAATTATCATCACATTGCCAAGCGTTCGAACTTGGCCAACAACGAATGATGACCCATATGAATGCTGAGCTACAGCTCCTATGCCCTTCATGTCCCCATTTTCCAACACGTATCGCACCGTTTTCCGTCCCCCATTCTACGCATCTACTTGCAAGGATTGAGTTGTCTCCCTTGAGTTTTTCAAATGAACCACAGGCTTTGGGAAAAACGTCGGTATCACCGGCAAAGAACCTGGCTACAGCTTTACCAGAGCTGTTCGCAGCCGTTTTGATATGAAACGTTCGTCCATGTTGCTGTTTATGGCAGTGGAATCTCAGCTGAGTGAAAGATATGCAGGATCTCAACTCTCTCATACCGTCAAGAGAGAGAACCATTCTGTTGCTGCTGTAACGACTGACTCCTGCGTATGTTGTTTCAATATTCAAATAGGTGCGGGGAAGGTTCCCCCAGCAATAACGTTATAGACTAGAAGCCAGCCTCCTGCCAGAAATTAAAAAAGAAATGTGAATCGCACTTATTGGGAGACCAGAAACAAGTCTGTTTTTCTTACAATAAAAAATGGGGGACTTCTAGTTATGCCTTTGCGCCACGGCGCAAAAGTATGGTCTCTCCCTCTACCTACCGGCTTTATCTATTTAAAGAAGATAATTTGGTAGAATGGTTTTGTTCCTTTGTTATCACCTCGGTGATTCCAGATAAAAACCCTGCTTAACCTCAAGCTGGAGCTTTTCTCTGTATTTCTGCTGTTACTTCTTTAAAAGAGTCTTAAACAATCCTGCTAGTTTGGCTCTAGCCTTTTGGTACTTTCACTTGAAATGCGGGCCAAACCTTATACTCCTCCCCTAAAACAGATGTTTTTGTTTGTCCGTAGCATTCTTTGAATGTTTTTTCTGTATTTAATTATTTTGCAGCAATTTTTTTCCTCAGGTTCAAACAGCACAAAGGTTGCCTTTGCAGCCTTGCTCTTCTATGCACAGCCAAAATTACAGAAACGAGTTATTTACAATGCTTACCTCCATCAGTTGTCATGTCACAAAATACTTTTAAAGAACTTCCATTTTTCTCAGGGTCGATCCAGTACTCTCCGTCTTTTTGAAAGAAACCTGAGTCCCGGATGTCCTTACAGGAATGACCAGGCTGATTGAAATGTAAGCCTCTGGTAGCTGAAAAGGAAATGAGCTTTAATCTTAATGGGTTTATTAATCTTCACACACCGGTTAAGATGTTATGAATAGGGGAAAAAGCTAAACGCAAACTTGAACATGATTGTCCGCATGTATCTTCAGAAATGCGTTTTAAAAGGAGTTCCCAATTGTAAATTTACACCATCCTCATTGCACTTAATTTTCATGTATTTTGTTTGGCAACGTGTTAAGTAGAACTTTTCTAGAAAAGTCTCACCACTTACGTGTTTCACAATGTTTTCCTTTGTATTCCGGATGACACTGGCCGCTTTTAGTTATTTGTTTTCGCCCGCGGGAAACATCCATGCAGGAGGCCTGATTAGTAAAACAGAAAGTTAAACGTTTTTCTTCCCGTTCTGCCATCGATTGTTTTTCAGAGTACACAAAGCTTGTTTTCTCGTTATCCGTATTCAGACGCTTAATGTGCGTTTCCAAAAATGAAATTTGACGTTGCCCTTACACTCATGTCAACACTCAGAACATGCTATACAAGCAGAAAAGAAACCTTTTGGTTCGCAGTGTGTTGCAAACAGGAATTGCTAAAAAAAAATGAAGATAGTTAAGACTCGCTCAGAGAAACGTTTGCCCGAGACTTTTAAGTGCCTGGTGTTCTGTTTACAAAGTGAACGCCTACTTATAAGCCAATAACGATTCATTCTCTCAGTTTTCATTAGTATACAGCAGTAGTACCGAAACATTGTTCTTGGGTGTAAATAAGATAGGAAAGTTATCAACAAACCTACTTAACCCAGAACCCACCTGAAAAGAGTTATAGTATGTAGATCCTTTCTTCTTTTTAAAATGACCTGGCTTCATCTGCCGTGTTGTATTATTCAACTCACAGCTACGTTTTTCATTGCCTTCACCGGGATGAACATTGATCGACTTACAGCTGTTATTTCCCATACATTTTAACTGGCACTCAAACTCGTCCACAACAGCATTTGTCTGGATAACATAACCCACCAAGGCATGGTCTGAAAGGCAAAAAAAATTTCTTTCTAGTAACTACTAGCTATGCAAAGAGAGTATAAGAATCGGTTGGTTTTGGTTTTCTTTTTTTCGAAGTATTTACTCACCGACTTGAGTTTCAAAAACGCTTCCACAAAAGTCTTTGTTTGCCAGGACAAACGGGATTCCCAAAAGGATGTTAAGAGTAACAGTGGCAAACTGGGTCCGCCATAAAACTGCCATGCTAAAATTGGCCGTTTTATCTTGTCCAGGTGGAGCTCCTTAGTTTTCTTGTTGCATATCAGCTTTCTTATATTTGCCTTCCTCTGTAAGCAGAGCGTCATTGACTGACAATTGAAATACTTATTATCTATAATTCATGATTCCTTTTTATTCATCGCTTTATTGCTCTTCAGTTTGCGTAAAAATTTCTTTTGTTTGTTGTAGTAGTAGGAGAGTTTGTTTCTGCTCTCATCATTATCATTGATATTATAATTCGCCAAATCAACAGAGCGGCTTTTGTTTTGAGGAATTTCCAATTAACAGATCGACTTTGCTCACGAAATACATCCACACAGGAAGCCTGACATAATTAATACAAAATAAAAGAAAATTGATTTTTTTACTTTATTTTTATTGGCATGGCACGAGAGGACAAAAGCTTATCCATTTCATCCTTTGAGTAACTTTTTTTCTCTTAATTAAGAAATTGATCACGAATAGCCGTTCTAAATAATATACTCTTTTTAAACTAAAGAACTATTGGGAACGTTGATAGAGTTGCCGAGAACATACCAAAAACGTAATCAACTTGAGACTTAGGTGTACCTAATAATTTGCATTAGGCTACAAACTTTTTGTGAACAGGTAACATCACCAACTCGTGCTTCAACACATTACTTTTGCAGAAACTTAACGGATATATAACGGCCTCGGGCAACATTTTCAAGACCTCAGTCACAGTTTTCCACCATAAATAAATAATATATCTATTTTTTAAAAACCTAAGGAAATTCTTTCCGAAAGAACCCGAATGAAACGGCAAGATCCTCCATAAACTGATTTGTTAGCGAGTAAATGGTAGTTAAAATTAAGGTGATGCAAATTAAAGAGATAATAACTATCGGCTTGAGGTAGTGACCGGCGTCTTTGCGTAAAAAATACTGCCCAGCCGGAAAAACGAGGTATATTTATGAAAAATGGTAACGGAGTAGGGATGTACTCTGCGACTCACTAAAGCGTTACCGTTGCCCGTGGTCAGAGATAGGAAAATACTACTGACCGGGTAAAGAACCAATCAGATTGCGGGATTCGTTACCATGCCCTCTGAAAAAAAAAATCGATGTCCCACGCGACTACGCAAATAGTCGAGAGCATTAAACAAGAATGCAATATAAACCTTTCAAAACCTTACGGAGCCTTATATGTGACACAGATGAACAGTGTTTTTTTTTTTCGCGCGCCTTGATTGGCTGGTGCGAAAGTGATTAATGAGCAGCAAGAGTTTAATTTTCGACCATTTTCGCGATATCTTGACAAAGACAAACTAATTCATTAGGCTCTGTGTGCTATGTACTAAAATAATTCTTCACTTCGGTGTCAGTGAAAGTGCTGGATGTTAACTTGGCCGTTTTGCCTCTCTAGCTCCACTTTGGTAAATAATTGTTAATCACTGTTTCAAAAAATTGATTTTAATGTACAGTCGAACCTCAATTAGCCGGACCTCGATTATCCGGACTATTCGATTATCCGGACTTTTTTATCTGGTCCCAATTTTTACATGAATATTAATTATTTGTGATCTTGAAAACTCAAAGTCGCAAAAAGCCCAATAATCCTTTCAAAAGACTGTTAAATCAGCGTATCATCCTGTGCGCTTTTCAAAATTCGAAAGTGCGACGAGACAAAGAAATATTCTGATGCGTTCAGCTGATATCTGATTGGCTCAAAAAATAGAAACTGTTATCTGGAGAGCTTAGAAAAATGTAAGTTTTTGGTTAAATAGTATGATGAATTTAGATTTGTGTTATTTTTTCGAAGATACCTCGAGTAGGCGAAAATTCTCGATAACCGCAAGACAGTGTTACTTCTTATTCATCAATCTTCTCTCTTTTAAAGTCCAGAAAGATTACAATGTCCTCTGAGCGATGTCAGATTTAGTTGTCGTTTTCATAGCAATAATTTCCTCCGTGTGAACCTCCTCAAACATCATGGGGTATTCTGTCGTTTGTTGTATCATAAGGACGAATCGGGATATGAGGTCAGTGGCCTAACGAGTGTTATGTTAGTGAGTTAGAGCAGGACGTCTGTTTATTTGTAAGGCAAAGTTAAAGGAGAGGTCGTATAACGAGCCAGCAGGGCATTTCTAGCCTCAGTGTATCCTAGTTTAAGAGGCATGAGACGATTGGGAGTATAGCTACTCTACCTCCCTACCCTCTCTAAGTCCAGTCCATCTAAATCTACCACCCAGGCTACCACCCAGTAGTTACCCCTGTATACTCCTGGGTGGAGAGAGGCATTGTATAAAAGTGTCTACTTTTGAAGAATATTGACGTGCTTGTGAGCAGAACAAGGGTTAAGTTCGCTGTTGATATTGGTGTTGATGTCCCTGTTACTTATGATTTGGTTTGTAGCACTGAGCAAATAAGTTTTTATCTTTGAAGAGTAAACGAAGAGAATAGTGTGTTATTTCAGGTTATTCCGTATATGGAAGACACAAATTGAAAGTAAATTCTCATTCTTTCTCTTCTTTTTATTTGACACGAGATGAAACAACTTTTATGGCGTTTCACTCAATCTAGCATCACATAAGGAATCAGCAAGCCACCGGCTGAATTAAAAGTCGATAAAATCATATGGTGACAAGAACTCTTCAATTTTCGATTTGCAGTGTTTGATTAAGGTGCGGATGGGAGTTACGTTTTATTCAGGCCTCATCCTACTGGTCTTGCAGATGAATCTTTGCAGCCTGTCCAAAACACCAGACGGCGAATGCAATTCAGCGGCCACACTTAAGGCATGCGTAAATGAGTCAATCTTGGCTGACCGTGCGCCCATTTTTCGTGTAAAATTTAAATAGGAAAACGTAAGTAACGACCATTGTGACTCAAAATTCTGTTCTTAGAGAACTGTAAAGGGAAATGAAGGTAGAGAACAGGAAAACTAAAGACTTTTCGCATGCAAAGGTTATTTACTTAGAGGTGTCTGGTTGTTTTAAACTCATAAAGGTTATAAGCTTTTAAGACACCGCGGTCCATTGTGAGACAACTTGGTCCTAGCAGCGTGTAAGCGTCTGCGCATGCGCAGAAGTTTGACCGCTGTGTCGGTGAATATAAACCTACTCCTATTTAGAACACGCTATATTTCATATTCAAACATGAATGATAATCACCAAAGCAAACCAACATTGATCGCACACTAATAGTGATGCTATTTATATTTCTACTTGCTAAAATACCTAAACTTCATGCAGTGTCGAAAAACCAAAACCAAAATAATCACACCCAATAATCAGAACAGAGGTTAACTATTTAACTCCCAGACCAAATTTGCAATTCTCCTTACTTTCAACCATACAATTCAACCATATAATTCTGGATGTCCTGGAAATGGAGACAGTGCCCTAACATAATATTTGCCCATTAAAAATTTGTTAAATGTAACAAAATTAATGTCTTTTAATTTTTGTGATACCTTAACTTTTTAGTTAATATCAATTATCAATCTCGAATAAGCAGGTTATGTAATGGGAGACTTCTTGGAAACTCAATTAAATAAAATTTGTAAATGAAAAAATGAAAAAAAAAGCTTCCTTCAATTCTCTAGCCAACAGAGCAGGCGTAATATTGGGAACGAGTGCTCAGTTTCTCCTCGGTGAACATCCTACCTGCAATCTTTTATTTTAACAAAAACAAAAAGATGGGGCGAGAAATAAATCGCTCCAAGGGGGTGAGTAATTTTACCAAAAAAAGATTCCTTTTAAATTGTTCCAAATCCCGCCATACGTTAGCATGTGGGAAAGTCCTAAAAATAGTTCATCGTTCTTGATTTAAAACTTCGCTTTCAATGCCATAATAATAATGTGTGAGTAAAAATGAAAACAAAATGGAAACTGTCAGCTAAGTTTCATGTTTATTCCCAAGTATAAGGATCCGCATTCAGAGCTAAGAAAAAAACAAATTAAAACAAAGCAAAAAACAACTAACAACAAGATAAGCGCATCACTCCAGATGGAGGTAACTATGAATAAACTGAACTATTGGTTTCATAACGACAGGGCTAAAAGAGATTCGTACATAGTACTAAAATCTATTGAGCTTAAATTTACTTCGGAAAATGGAAACTGCAATAAGTGCTCTAAATTCCAACTCCTTTCCTACTCATGTCTGCCTAACGTTTCTTGCTTTTTCAATACTTCGTTGTGTACTTCTTGGCTTTAATTTATCTGGAACAAACCGTGATAAACAGCAACAATTTCTGTGAGACAAATAGGAATACACCTATTTAAAATGAAAAAAAAAGATTGAATGATCTTATCAGGAGTCGCGTGGAAGGGTAATTTGACTCATAACTGCGAGACCTCTCATCCCTGATTGGTCAATGATCGATACAAAATGTGTCATAATATGCCGAATCATTGTTCTTACAGCAAAACCAACAAAGAATGCGGGCTTCATAAAGTACACGCCCCTGACAACTTGAGTGACGTGCTTCAGGTGTGTATTGCGATTCTTCCTGTCTATAATAACGCATAAAATTTGAGAAATAACGGCTAAGATTTGCAAAAAATTCCAATTCCCGAGAGGGGCCCCATGGTCTCTGAGAATACAACGATAATGCCATTAGATACGTTGTTACAAAGATATTACATTAACTTTTGTTTAGCCAAGCTGTTAAGATGATGAGTTGATTCAAAGATCTTTAAAATTAACACGTTTATCAGAAGATGACTTGTACATTAGATTTGAGAAGGTCACCAATAACGGATAAAGAACGGATTTTCGACAGGCGCAAAAATCTTAAGCTAACAGTTCAAGATGCTCTAATCTTAAAGTATATTCGTTTGCTCCTTCAACGCCAGTTACGGGGTTTCCACTAAAGAGTCGCAAAGCGTTGCATTAATTAACGGACATAAATCTTCCAAAAGTCGCCGCGCGACAAATCATTCGCCGCGTCATCACACTCCCATCTATTTTTGCCAGGCCACGTGACCCAATGATGGTGATATGCAATGAATATTGAGTACATATACAGCTCCTTATTGCCTTCATGTCCCCATTTTCCAACATGAAACACGCCGTTTTCCTTCCCCCATTCTACGCATCTACTTGCAGGGGCTGAGTTGTCTCCCTTGAGTTTCTCAAATGAGCCAACGGCTTTGGGAATAACGTTGGTATCACCGCCGAAAAACCCGACTACAGCTTCACCAGAGCTGTTCGCGGCCGTTTTGACATGAAACGTTCGTCCATGTTGCTGTTTACGGCAGTGGAATCTCAGCTGAGTGAAAGACATGCGGGATCTCAGCTCTCGCATACCGTCAGGAGAGAGAACCATTCTGTTGCTGCTGTAGCGACTGACTCCTGCATATGTGTTTTCAATATTCAAATTGGTGGGGGGCACAGTTCCTCCAGCAATAACGTTATAGATTAGGAGCCAGCCCCCTGCCAAATATTAAAAAAAATGTGAACCGCGTTTCTTCGGAGACCGGAAACAGCTCTTCCACGACCCACTGTTGTTTTAAAAATTGGCACAAAAAAAAATGGCCATGGCCAAGAAGAAAAAAAGGTAGTAGAATTGTTTTGTTCGCTTGTTATAACCTCAAGGGCTCCAGATTGAAACCCTGCTTTGACCACAAACTGGAGTTTTTCGCTGTTTTTCAGCTCCTGCTACTCTGAAGGAGTCTTAAAAAAATCCTGCTGGTTTGGTTCCAGCCTTTTAGAACTTTCACTTAAAATACGGGCCACATCTTTAACTCCTACCCTAAAACAGTTTTTTTTGTTTTGTCTTCTTTTGTCCGTAGCATTCTTTGAATATTTTTCTGTATTTAATCATTTTTCAGTATATTTTGGTTTTTTTTTTTATTATTTCTTCCCAGGTTTAAATACCACAAGTGTTTACCTCTTCAGCCTTGCTATTCAATACACAGTCTAAATTGCGGAAAAGAGTTATTTACAGTGCTTACCTCCATCAGTTGTCATGTCACAAAATACTTTTAAAGAACTTCCATTCTTCTCAGGGTCGATCCAGTACTCCCCGTCTCCTTTTGAGTCTCCAGCTTCCAAAATGTGCTTGCAGGACAGAGCAGGATGACGGGAAGACCAGCCAGGTACAGCTGCGAATTTAAATATGTTTTATTTTTTAGTGTCATGGTTCAGGGTCAATTGCCAAATAATTTGGCTTTGAAGAATAGTTGTGCTATGTTTTTATCCATTTGGACCATCTTGGTCGCGAATGGCTGTTCTTGGTCAGCAGAGTAATATAGACATGGAGGATGTGAGATATTAAGGACCATTTACTTATGCAGCTACTTGGTGTAGCTGTACCAAATGAGATGTGAATCACGACACACCCGTGTATGTGTTTCTGTCTGTTTCTGTTTTTTCACTCGCAGGTACAATAAAAAAATTGCATGGTAAGGGCTTAGGGAAGTTGAAAACATGGAGTGTTTCTCACGTGTTAGGCAGCCTTTCCCTTTGCGTCCTGGATGACAATGGCCGAAGTTTTTCGCTGCTTTCTCATCGTGAAAAACTTTAATGCAGGAAATCTACGTTGAAAAAGATTCGGAACATATTATACCGGTCCAATGTAATTATTAAATGTCTCTAAATATTTTGTGAACAGTTTTAAAATTTTTTTCAATTTTTTCGAAGTTTTTATGTACTTTGATGACGTTTTTATGTTCAAATAATCAAATGTTGCAGTCACGGCTGCAAGTTTTCATGTATTTTGATGACGTTTGTATGTTCAACTAATCAAATATTGCAGTCATGGTTGCAGATTTCTAATAGTTAATTCCGATTCATTTCTCCTTCGAGTTCAAAGCAACTAAATTATTTGAAAAGGAAATTTTGCACATTTCTCAGGAACTGAAGTATTTTCACTTCTAAGTTTCAATTGAATTGTATTTTTTGGAAAATTTGCCGATCATAAATAATTGAGAAACTCTTTCCAAAAATCAGAAGATAGATGGATGCAATGAGACAGAGAACTGACTTCAGTAAACTTTGTTTAAACAAAGAAATTCCATCTAACCAGTTTCATTGTTTAACTGCAAAAATAATTCGTCGATTGATTTCCTCGCACGAAATAAATATCGATGACAAGGTAAACACTAAACACGAAGAAATCGTATTTTGTCATTCGAACTTTGTTGAAAAAGTTAAAAAAAACAAACAAACAAAAATATATATTTCCCATCGTATTTTTCCATTCGAACTTTCTTGAAAGAGCTAAAAAAACAAAAATATATGTATTTTCAGTAGTCAAAGAGCGAAAACGCAACTTCGCGAAACGGGAGTTGTCAAGATCGCCGATTAATGAATTTAAGTATCAACCAAGAAAACGTAATTTAAAGGAATTCACGCAAACAACTGAACTTACCTGCACCAAACCGTAGTAAGTAGATCCTCTCCTCTTTTTAAAATCAGCTGCTTTCATCAGTCGAGTTTTGTCGTTCAGCTCACAAATTACATCGTTTTCCTCCAGGTAAACGTTACACGATTTACAGCGGCTTTCCTTCTCAGTACATTTCTCCTGGCATTCAAATTCGTTTTTAACAACACTCTTTTCCATGAAATTACCAACAAAAATATGATCTAAGAGTTATGAGTACAAGAAAATCTTAGATCCTCAAATTTTTTTCAAAGCTGTAAAAAAGGAAATATTGCCTCATTGCAATCACTATTCAGCTTCAATGACAATTAATTCAATGTTGATATGAATAAAATTTGAAAACATTCGGGAAAATTGTATTTTCGTTATTTTAATCAGCTGGGATTTTTAGCCTCGCTTTGTTTCATACAATTGGAACTGAATCTATTTAAGATATTCTCACTGATTTCCACGGCCTCATCAACCTGATGTGCTTTGAATACTGTTGATGATAACAAATCATTATTTTTTTTCATTATTTACGGATTTTTTCCCAGTGCTCTTTGTTTAAGTTTTGGAACAATCTACAGCATTACTTCTCATTTTGGATTCTTTTTTCAATCCTCCAAGAGTTGATAACATTCGTACATTCTCTTCTTCATTTGATTGGATGACTAAACTCGAAAGCGGAACGACTCTCTACAGGAGACTTTGCACTTTAAAGCCAATTTAATTTGCTGATACAATGTAGTACATCAAGATATTGAATAAAGTTACCCAAACGATTTGCAAGTTACAACCTTGAGTACTATGAGAAAATTGTAATGTCCAACTTTCAGTACCCGCAGAACATTGCCAACTTTAAGAACTTGCGCCTGAATTAACTTAATGAAGTCTTCCTCTAATCGACAATATTTTGAAAGATAATTTACTATTTGACATAATGCAACTTCTTAAATAGTAGTACTGAATGCTAGCGTCTCAAAAAAAATAGAAAATGCTCTAGAACGCAGAAGTGACGGCAAAGTTATCAACGGACATAAATTCTCCAGAAGCCACAAGATGCAGCAATATTCTCCAAAGTATCATCACATTGCCATACGTTAGAACCTGGCCAAGTGATCCAACAATAGCTACCCACAATGAATGCTGAGTATACAGACAGCATCTTATGCCCTTCATGTCCCCATTTTCCAACACGATACGCGCCCTTTTCCATCCCCCATTCTACTTAAGGCATGCGCAAATGAGTAAATCTTGGCTAACCGTTCGCCCATTTTCGTGTAAAATTTAAATAGGAAAACATAAGTAACGACCATTGTGACTCAAAATTCAGTACCTAGAGAATTGTAAAGGGAAATGAAAGTAGAAAACAGGAAAAATTAAGACTTTTCGCAGGCAAAGGTTATTTGGTTAGAGGTGTCTGGTTGTTTAAAATCATTGTGAGACAACTTGATCCTAGCAGTGTGAAAGTGTCTGCGCATGCGCAGAAGTTTGACCGCTGTGTCGGTGAATGTAAACCTACTCCTATTTATAACACGCTATATTTCATATTCAAACGTGAATTATGATCGCAAAAGCGAACGAATATCGATCGCACACAATTAGTGATGCTATTTATATTTCTACTTGCTAAAATACCTACACTTCATGCAGTGGCAAAAAACCAAAACCAAAATAATCACACCTAACAATCAGAACAGAGGTTAACTCTTTAACTCCCAGACCAAATTTGTAATTCTCCTTACTTTCAACCATACGATTCAACCATATAATTCTGGATGTCCTGGAAATGGAGACAGTGCCCTAACATAATATTTGCCCATTAAAAATTTGTTAAGTGTAACAAAATTAATGTCTTTTAACTTTTGTGATACCTTAACTTTTTAGTTAATATCAATTATCAATCTCGAATAAGCAGGTTATGTAATGGGAGACTTCTTGGAAACTCAATTAAATAATATTTGTACATGAAAAAAGGAAAAAAAAGCTTCCTTCAATTCTCTAGCCAACAGAGCAGGCGAAATATTGGGAATGAGTGCTCAGTTTCTTCTCGGTGAACATCCTACCTGCAATCTTTTATTTTAACAAAAACAAAAAGGTGGGGCGAGGAATAAATCGCCCTAAGGGGGTGAGTAATTTTACAAGAAAAGATTCCTTTTAAATTGTTCCAAATCCCGCCATACGTTAGCATGTGGGAAAGTCCTAAAAATAGTTCATCATTGTTGATTTAAAACTTCGCTTTCAATGCCATAATAATAATGTGTGAGTAAAAACGAAAACAAAAATGGAAACTGTCAGCTAAGTTTCGTGTTTATTCCCAAGTCTAAGGATCCGCTTTCAGAGCTAAAAGAAAAACCAAATTAAAACAAAGCAAAAAATAAATAACAACAAGATAAGCAAATCCTTCCTGATGGAGGTAACTATGAATAAACTGAACTATTGGTTTCATGATCACAAGGCTAAAAGAGAATCATACACAGCACTACAATCTGTTGAGCTTAAATTTACTTCGGAAAATGGCAACTGCAATAAGTGCTCGAAATTCCAGCTCCTTTCCACTCATGTCCATCTGACGTTTCATCCTTTTTCTATACTTCATTGTGTACTTCTTGGCGTTAATTTATCTGAAAAAACCGCGATGAACAGCGACAATTTCTATAAGACATATAGGAATACACCTATTTACAATAAAATAGGAGTCGCACGAAAGGGTAATTTGACTGATAACGTGTTATTTTATATCCACTACGAAACATCATATCCCTGATTGGTCAATGATCGATACAAAATGTGTTATAGTATGCCGACTCATTTGTTACAACAGCAAAACCAGCAAAGAGTGTGTTCTGCATAAAGTACACGTCCCTAACAACTTGAGTGACGTGCTTCAGGTGTATATTGCCTTTCCATAACAATACATACAAGTTGAGATATAATGTTTAAGACGTGCAACAAAACAACGGATTTTCGACAGGCGCAAAAATCTTGAGCTAAGAGTTCAAGATGCTCTAATCTTAACGTATCTTCGTTTGCTCCTTCAACGCCAGTTACGAGAGTTTCCACTAAAGAGTCGCAAAGCGTTGCATTAATTAACGGACATAAATTTTCCAAAAGTCACCGCGCGACAAATCTTTCGCCGCGTCATCACATTCCCATCTGTCATAGACTGGCGACGTGACCCAATGATGGTAATATGCAATGAATGCTGGGTGCAAATGCAACCCCTTCAGCCCTTCATGTCCCCATTTTCCAACGTTATACACGCCGTTTTCCGACCCCCATTCTGCACATTTACTTGCAAGGCCTGAGTTGTCTCCCTTCAGTTTCTCAAATGAACCACAGGCTTTGGGAATAACGTCAGTATCACCGCCGAAAAACCCCGCTACGGCTTCACCAAAGCTGTTCGCGGCCGTTTTGACATGAAATGTTCGTCCATGTTGCTGTTTACGGCAGTGGAATCTCAGCTGAGTGAAAGATACGCGGGATCTCAGCTCTCGCATACCGTCAGGAGAGATAACCATTCTGTTGTTTCTGTAACGACTGACTCCTGTATATGTCTTTTCAATGGTCAAGTTGGTCGGGGGCACAGTTCCTCCAGCAATAACGTTATAGATCAGGAGCCAGCCTCCTGCCAGAAATTAAAAAAGAAAATGAGAATCACATTTCTTGGGAGACCGCAATCATGTCTTCCATGACCCTCTGTTGTTCTTACAATAAAAAGGTAGGCTACTTCGAGTTATGCCATTGCACCACGGCGCAAAGGTATGGTCTCTCCCCCCTATCGGCCTTATCTACTTAGAGAAGACAAGATAGCAGAATAGTTTTGCTCGCTTGTTATGACCTCAGTGGCTCCAGATTGAAACCCTGCTTCGACCACGAGCTGGAGTTTTTCTCTTTATTTCAGTTCGTACTACTCTGCAAGTGTTTGGCTCCAGCCTTTTGAAACTTTCACTTGAAATGCGGGCCTCACCTTAAACTCCTCCCCTAACGCAAATGTTTTCGTTTGTCCACGTTTTTCAGTAGCATTCTTTGAATGTTTTTTCTGTATTTAATTATTTTGCAGTATGTTTTGTTTTTTTTTTCCTCGGGCTCAAACACCCCGACGGTTTTCCCCTGCAGCTTTGCTTTTCTATACACGGCCAATATTGCAGAAAAGAGTTATTTACAGTGCTTACCTCCATCAGTTGTCATGTCACAAAATACTTTTAAAGAACTTCCATTTTTCTCAGGGTCTATCCAGTACTCTCCGTCTCCTTTAGAGTTCCCAGCTTCCAAAATCTGCTTGCAGGACAGAGCAGGATGACGGGAAGACCAGCCAGGTACAGCTGCGAAATTAAATATGTACTATTCTTTAATGTCGTGGTTTAGGGTCAATTACCAAATAATTTCGGATGTCCTTACAGGAATTACCAGGCTGATTGAAATATAAGCCTCTGGTAGCTGAAAAGGAAATGAGCTTTGATCTTGATGGGTTTATTAATCCTCACACACCAGTTAAGACGCTGAAAAAAGGGAAAAAAGCTATGCGCAAACTTGCACATGGCTGTCCGCATTTATCTTCAGAAATGGGTTTTAAAAGGAGTTTTCAATTGAAAATTCACACTATCCTCATAGCACTTAATAGTCATGTATTTCGTTTAACAACGTCTAAAGTAGAACTTTTCTAGAACAGTCTCACCACTTACGTGTTTCACAATGTTTTCCTTTGTATTCCGGATGACACTGGCCGCTTTTAGTTGTTTGTTTTCGCCCGCGAGAAATATCCAAGCAGGAGGCCTGATTAGTAAAACAGAAAGGTGAACTTTTTTCTTCACGTTCTGCCTTCGATCGTTGTTCAGAGTAAACAAAGCTTGTTTTCTCGTTATCAGTATTCAGACGCTTAATGTGCGTTTTCAAAAAACAACGTTGCCCTTACACTAATGTCAACACTCGGAACACGCTATACAAGCAGAAAGGAAACCTTTTGGTTCTCGCGTTGTTGCAAAACGGGAATTGCAAAATGATGAAGATAACTAAGACTCGCTTGGAGAAAAGTTTTCCCGAGATTTTTAACTGTCTGGTGTTCTGTTTACGAAGTGAACGCCTATTTATAAGCCAATAACAATTGATTCTCCCAGTTTTCATTAGTATATAGCAGTAGTTCCGAAACATTGTTCTTGGCAGTGAATTACATAGGAAAGTTATCAACAAACCTGCTCAACCTAGAACCCACCTGAACAGAGCTATAGTATGTAGATCCTTTTTTCTTTTTAAAATGACCTGGCTTCATCTGCCGTGTTTTATTATTCAACTCACAGCTAAGTTTTCCATTGCTGTCACCGCGATGAACATTGATCGACTTACAGCTGTTATTTCCCATACATTTTAACTGGCATTCAAACTCGTCCACAACAACATTTGTCTGGATAACATGATCAACCAAGGCATGGTCTGAAAGGAAAAAAAGCGTTCCCTGTAGTTATTAGCTAAAGAAAAAGAGAGTATAAGAATGGTTTTTTTTTTTTTTTTTTTTTTTTTGGTTTTTCATTTTAAGTATTTACTCACCGACTTGAGTTTCAAAAACGCTTCCACAAAAAGTCTTTGTTTGCCAGGACAAACAGGATTCCCAAAAAGGATGTTAAGAGTAACAATCATAAACTGGGTAATCCATAAAACAGCCATACTAAAAAATTGGCCGTTTTATCTTTCCCAGGTGGAGCTCCTTAGTGATCTTATTGCGTATCAGCTTTGTTATATTTGCCTTCCTCTTTAGGTAAGTAGGCGTCATTGACTCACAATTGAAATACTTATTATCTATAATTCATGATTCCTTTTTATTCATCACTTTATTGCTCTTCAGTTTGCATGAAAATTTCTTTTGTTCGTCGCAGTAAGAGAAAAGTTTGTTTCTACTTATATTATTATCATTGATATTATAATTCGCCAAATCAACAGAGTAACTTTTGTTTTGAGGAATTTGCAATTAACGGGTCGAGTTTGCTCACGAGAAACATCCACGCAGGAAGTCTGACATAATTAAAACAAAATAAAAGAAAATTGACTTTTTCACTTTGTTTTTATTTTACATGGCATCGAGAAGACAATCCATTTCATCCTTTGAGTAACTATTTTTCTCTTAATTTATTAACAAGTGGATGACATCCATTTAGCTCTGATCACCTTATATCGCATAAAATTAACGAATAGCCGTTCAAAATCATATCCTCTTTTTAAACTAAAGAACTATTGAGATCGTCGATACAGATGCCGAGAACATACCAAAAACGTAATTATCCCGAGAGTTAAAGATGAAGCGTACCTACTAATTTGCATCAGGCTGCAAACTTTTTGTGAACAGGTGACATTACCAACTCGTGCCTCAACACATAATCTTTGCAGAAAAGGAATGGATATATATAAGACACCTTTCAACGCTACGTCTGTACGAATTAACGTATCTTTTTCTTGTCATTCTCGGCTCTCGGATCGATAAATTTTAATTTTATGAGTTACAAGGCAGAGAAATTTGGAACTTGACCTTTCTTTTCCGGATGGTTTATGCTCAGTGGGGAAGACGAAATGAAGACCTCCCATATTTGCTTCGCCTTTAGCAGCCAAATTAGTTAGAGCTATATTTTTTTAGCACTCAAGAACTAAAACTGCTCTCGGCTTCGCCTCAAGCAACTCTTACGCTTTTCTCGGGAATGCATCTGTTTAATCATAAATAACAAATAGAGTAGCCTTGACTGTGCTCTGTTATGTTGTAGATCACGCAGGAAGCGGCCAAGGCACGAAAGAAGTAGGGAGAAAGAATCCTTCAAATTTCCCACAAATTACTTTTAAAACAAAATTTATTGCCAAAGCGAACTACAGTGTCGTCAGCATGCTCCGTGCTGTCATAAAGCACGCTACAATAAGCCAATAGGAATCCTTGTTATAATGGTCCAAATAATCAGATTGGTTGACGAGACTAAATCTCTCAAAAATATCAAACCATCACAGTTCACAACCATCAAAGTTCACAATCTGCAATATTTTACAAACTCAAATAGTTGGGCAGGTCGAATTTACCACTTTTGCCTGAAGTTTTTCTCTATTGTTAGTCTGAAGTTAGTCTCTGATGCAGAATCTGAAACTGAAATGTTCAGTGAAATCCAGCCAAATTGTGGCTCATAAAAATACGCAAGCTTTTTTACATAACAATCAGAGAACAAACTGCTCAAGGCGTGTGTTTTATGAATGAACGATAGCCAAATTCACAGCAACATGAAGATTGCTTGGAATGACAGTGCCTTCAAACTCGGCTGCTGTGACTGCTGTGGCTATCCACTCAATGCATCGGAAAGGATATCAGAGCAAGCTCTTAGTTGTTTACTCGAAGGGCGGGCAAGGCTTCCTTCACTACGATTACTGTAAATCGCCGTGATGAGTCAGCTGCGATGGACCTCAGCATGATCGCAGTCGCTCTGAAACCTTCCTGATTAGTATGAAATTTAACAGTTGTGCCAGTTTGGCTATATTTTTCATCATTCCTGTTTTGTTTTGAACACAAAACTCCATATGCCATACTAGTGTTAACTGTGTTTGATTTACATTATCGTACATAAGCCTGCAATCTAACTGAGTAAGAAAACCTTAAAAACTCGGTCTGTGTAGTTTTCGTCTCTGTTTGCGTTGTAATTACGTAAATTACGGCGCTTGGTATGTTTACAAACCTTTGTTTGGTTCTTCGATAGCTGCTTGCCGGCTTGTTTGTTCCGAAATTTCACTTTCAATTAACGAAAACAAGCAAGAGAGAAGTCCGCGAAATGGTCAGACATAATACAATTTGGCAGATGGCGTGACAGCTTCTGTACTCTGGAAGAGCACGCTCTTTCAACCAATGACAACACGCTCTTTTTCAGTTAATTTTTTAGTCCTTTTTAGTGCTTCTGAGGGCTTGTTTTCCTCTCTTTTTTGGAAAAAGCGTTTTTTTTTTCATAAAACAAAATTGCGAGTCTAGTCATGTTTTTTTTCTTTTTTGAAGGAGTGAGTAAACTTCTCAAAATTTTCACAACATTTCGAAAGCAATCTTAATGGTTCGAATGGTCTGAAGTATTTGATTGGCTAATGAGAGAACAGTTGTCAATCACAAAGTGAACCTTACCATCATGTCAATTCCAATTGGCTTTTGGAGTGGAGACCCATCAAGCTCGTTTTATCATTGAATTAAAAAGTTAACAAAACTTCATTTCTCTTGTCCGGTGGTATGAAATCCAGCCAAGTTGTGGCTCAAGAAAATGTGCACTTTTTCGGCAAACAATTACGAAACAAAGAGCTAAAAACTTGCGGATGAAAAATGCAGCAAGATTGACCGAACTTGTGACAGGTGGGAAGATCTGAAAGCTGCCTTTCTGATTGGAGGAAATGTTAGAGCGACCTTTCAGTTGATAGCTTATTAAAAATTCAACTTGACAACATACGAATATAATCCATAATCCAATATATCATTATGTATGATATATTGGCTTATTTGTTGTAGGTTCAAACACCCGTGAAAACATGCATTTCGGGAGAGAAATATATATAACAAGTTTTATTTGTTCACATCAGATGGTTATTACATGCATAAGCCAGACAGTTGACATACATATTCACATACCATTACAACATGTAGACATTAATCTTCCTTGCTTACAAATATCTAGGTATAATATGATAATAGGATAATATGTAAAGAGGAAAACTACAGACTAAACATAATTACAGTTAATAATTAATCTTCATCTTATTAATTAGAGTATCTATGTCGACATAGGAGTTTCAGTTTCTAGAATTTCGTGGAAAATGTTGGGAGAATCTTGTGATCTTGAAAAAAGGTACCCCACCTCACAGCCATTGTTCTAATGTAGTGACGATAGAAACAATAAGCATCAAAGCATATAATTCCTTTTTAAATTGATCCAAATCCCGCCATACGTTAGCATGTCAGAAAGTCCTAAAAATAGTTCATTATTGTTGATTCAAACCTTCGCTTTCAATGCCTTAATAATAATGTGTGAGTAAAATTAAAACAAAAATGGAAACTGTCGGCTAAGTTTCCTGTTTATTCCCAAGTCTAAGGATCCGCTTTCAGAGGAAAAAAAAAACCAAACAAATTAAAACAAAGCAATAGATAACTAACCACAAGATAAGCAAATCCTTCCTGGTGGAGGTAACTATGAATGAACTGAACTATTGGCAACTAGTGCTCTAAATTCCAGCTCCTTTCCACCCATGTCTACCTAAAGTTTCTTGTTTTTTACATATTTCATTATGTACTTTTGGCGTTAATTTATCCGAAAATCCACGATGAACAACATTCTCTATAAGACATATAAGAATACATCTATTTACAATGAAAAAAGATTGAATGATCTTATCAGGAGTATGGGCTGCATAAAGTTCACGCCCCTGACAACTTGAATGACGTGCTTCGGGTGTATATTGCGATTCTTCCTATCCATAATAGTACATACAACTTGAGAAGTAATGTTTCAGACATGCAAAAAATACCAATTCCCAAGAGAGGCCCGACGGTTTCTGAGAATACAACAATAGTCCCTTTGATACGCTGTTACTTACTGCCAAGGTGTTCAGAGGGTAAGTTACTTCAAGATCTTTAAAATGAACCTGTTTATTAGAAGATAACTTGTTTATTAAATATGGGGAGGTTTTAAATATATTACAGTAAAGTTTTGTTTTGCCTAGGTGTTAAGAGGATATGTTTATTCAAAGATCTTTAAAATGAACTTTTTTATCAGAAGATGACTTTTTTATTAAATATCAGGAGGTTACCACTTATGAATAAAGGGTGGATGCAGAAAGTTTCTAAACTCCTCACATCGTAGTACCGAATGCCCGTGTCTCAAAAGTAAATATTAAATGTTTTAAAAGGCAGAAGAAACAAAGTTATCAACGGACATAAATTCTCCAGAAGTCACCGGATGTAACAATTTTCTCAAAATTATCATCATATTGCCAAGCGTTCGAACTTGGCCAAGTGATCCAATGATAGCTACCCACAACGAATGCTGAGTATATATACAGCTCCTTATGCCCTTCATGTCCCCATTTTCCAACACGTATCGCACCGTTTTCCGTCCCCCATTCTACGCATCTACTTGCAAGGATTGAGTTGTCTCCCTTGAGTTTTTCAAATGAACCACAGGCTTTGGGAAAAACGTCGGTATCACCGGCAAAGAACCTGGCTACAGCTTCACCAGAGCTGTTCGCGGCCGTTTTGATATGAAACGTTCGTCCATGTTGCTGTTTATGGCAGTGGAATCTCAGCTGAGTGAAAGATATGCGGGATCTCAACTCTCTCATACCGTCAAGAGAGAGAACCATTCTGTTGCTGCTGTAACGACTGACTCCTGCGTATGTTGTTTCAATATTCAAATAGGTGGGGGGCACAGTTCCCCCAGCAATAACATTATAGACTAGGAGCCAGCCTCCTGCCAGAAATTAAAAAAATTTTAAAATTTTATTGTTTCTCTTACAATAAAAAATGGGGGACTTCTAGTTATGCCTTTGCGCGGTATCCAGTTACCTCGCCACCAAGCAGACTCGCCACTAGCAACCTCGCCACCAAGGAACGTACTCGCCACCAAGCGAAGTCTTCTCGCCACCAACCACCAATAAAGAGATTAATCGAGGAGAGTAGGATGTTCGGCTGATAAGTTTGTTCGCTTGTCTGTACTCAAACTTTATAAAAGTATGTTGTCGAAAGCACGTTCGAAACCGATAAGTTTGTTCGCTTGTCTGTACTCAGACTTTATAAACGTATGTTGTCGATAGCACGTTCAAAACTGAAGGTGTTGTGCAACAACATTTCGTTCGTATCTCGTAGTGTAAAGGCAAACTATTTCATCCGAACACAAGTCGAAATGTTGGAAATGTAAAGATCACTTTTCTCACCATTTAAACCCAAGGCGATGTGCGAAAATATGTTAATTTGAGGTGAGACTAAATTCAAACAAACAAACAAATAAACAAATGTTGTGTTAATTAACGATCCTCCCATCAAATTCCTTGCTTTCTTCGAAGTGAAAATTTGGATCCTAGGGGTGTGTATAAAAGGAAAGTAAAAAACCAGTTAATCTAATCCGATCATCTGATCTCGCTCTCGATTACGAATACGACACGGTTACGAATACGATACGCTCTTCATCATTCTTCGTTATGTCTTCAACTGACAATTGCATCGTCTGCAAAGAAAAAGTTAGACCGAGACAAGAAGCCCTTCAGTGCGATGGCTGCAATCTATGGAACCATAGGAACTGCAACACCGGTGTATCCCGCCAAGACTACTGGGCAGCGGTCCGTGAGGAGAAGAATCTGGAATGGCGTTGTTATTCCTGCCCTGTCCTTGAAAGCACCAGACTAGAAGAGGCGTCTTTTAACGGTAGTAAGTTTTGAGTTTTTGTTGTTGTAATTGCTAGATGTTGTTGTTTAAGAAAACTGCTTTTGATGTTGCTGTTTCTCTTGTTTATCAAAAAGAAGTTAGAACATTTCTGTTAAAACATAGTAAGTCCGTATACTTAAAAGAAAACTGCTTTTGATGTTGCTGTTTCTCTTGTTGTTTATCAAAAAGAAATTAAAACATTAGAACATAGTAAGTCCGTATACTTAAGCAGAAAACTTCTTCTTCCACCAGTTATGTCTCCACCGATCCCTGAGCCAGATGTCACTCCGCCGCTATTCGACGTCGCTAAAAATGGCTCTTTTAGGAGCCGCCACATCTGCAAAAGTCATGATCAACATATGAGCTGCTCTTCTAGATTTAATATTCAATAAAGTTTGTTGTTATTTTGCCGCGGAGAAACTGGGTAATATAATACGACCGAATATTGAATAAGTTCCCTTGACAACATCACAGACGTCGAAATTTGCATACAGATAAGTAACCAAACTCGTGAGTCGATTCGTTCGAACTTATAACATCACAGGCGTCGAAATTTTCATAAAAATAAGCAAACAAACTCAGGAATCGATTGGTTCGAACCGTTAACTCTCCTTGGGAGACAACTGTAGTTGCCTTAGGAAAGCTTCAGTCCATCGACGCTTACAATTTCTCGCACCGACTTGACAATTTCTCGCATCTAGTTTTAATACAACTGCTATCGAGTTTCATTTCATCACTTATTTCTTCCCATGAAGTTTCATTTTCTCTCAAGTAAGTTTTTATTCCTCGCATCGAGTTTTGCAATTTCTCCTCGCTTACGTGCAAAAGACAAACACGATACGTTTCGATGTCAATGAGTTAGGAACGGAACACATCTAACACGTCGCTGAAGGTCATAATTTAAATACAGACAAGCGCACAAACGTATCGGCCGATTTGAATTGTGCTCGTTCGAACATCCTACTCTCCTCGACTACTTTATTCTAGTTTATCTCTTTATTGGTGGTTGGTGGCGAGAAGACTTCGCTTGGTGGCGAGTACGTTGGTGGCGAGATCGTTCCTTGGTGGCGAGCTCGAGTTCGCTGGTGGCGAGTCTCCCTGGTGGCGAGGTAACCGGTAACCCTTTGCGCCACGGCGCAAAAGTATGGTCCTCCCTCTACCTACCGGCTTTATCTATTTAAAGAAGATAAGTTGGTAGAATGGTTTTGTTCCTTTGTTATCACCTCGGTGATTTCAGATAAAAACCCTGCTTAACCTCAAGCTGGAGCTTTTGTCTGTATTTCTGCTGTTACTTCTCTAAAAGAGTCTTGAACAATCCTGCTGGTTTTGCTCTAGCCTTTTGGCACTTTCACTTGAAATGCGGGCCAAACCTTATACTCCTCTCCTAAAACAGATGTTTTTGTTTGTCCGTAGCATTCTTTGAATGTTTTTTCTGTATTTAATTATTTTGCAGCAATTTTTTTTCTTCAGGGTCAAACAGCACAAAGGTTGCCTTTGCAGCCTTGCTCTTCTATGCACAGCCAAAATTACAGAAACCAGTTATTTACAATGCTTACCTCCATCAGTTGTCATGTCACAAAATACTTTTAAAGAACTTCCATTTTTCTCTGGGTCGATCCAGTACTCTCCGTCTTTTTGAAAGTAACCTGAGTCCCGGATGTCCTTACAGGAATGACCAGGCTGATTGAAATATAAGCCTCTGGTAGCTGAAAAGGAAATGAGCTTTAATCTTAATGAGTTTATTAATCTTCGCACACCGGTTAAGATGTTATGAATAGGGGAAAAAGCTAAACGCAAACTTGAACATGATTGTCCGCATGTATCTTCAGAAATGCGTTTTAAAAGGAGTCCCCAATTGGAAATTTACACCATCCTCATTGCACTTAATTTTCATGTATTTTGTTTGGCAACGTGTAAAGTAGAACTTTTCTAGAACAGTCTCACCACTTACGTGTTTCACAATGTTTTCCTTTGTATTCCGGATGACACTGGCCGCTTTTAGTTATTTGTTTGCGCCCGCGGGAAACATCCATGCAGGAGGCCTGATTAGTAAAACAGAAAGTTAAACGTTTTTCTTCCCGTTCTGCCATCGATTGTTTTTCAGAGTACACAAAGCTTGTTTTCTCGTTATCAGTATTCAGACGCTTAATGTGCGTTTCCAAACATGAAATTTGACGTTGCCCTTACACTCATGTCAACACTCAGAACATGCTATACAAGCAGAAAAGAAACCTTTTGGTTCGCAGTGTGTTGCAAACAGGAATTGCTAAAAAAAATGAAGATAGTTAAGACTCGCTCGGAGAAACGTTTGCCCGAGACTTTTAAGTGCCTGGTGTTCTGTTTACAAAGTGAACGCCTACTTATAAGCCAATAACGATTGATTCTCTCAGTTTTCATTAGTATACAGCAGCAGTACCGAAACATTGTTCTTGGGTGTGAATAAGATAGGAAAGTTATCAACAAACCTACTTAACCCAGAACCCACCTGAACAGAGTTATAGTATGTAGATCCTTTCTTCTTTTTAAAATGACCTGGCTTCATCTGCCGTGTTGTATTATTCAACTCACAGCTACGTTTTTCATTGCCTTCACCGGGATGAACATTGATCGACTTACAGCTGTTATTTCCCATACATTTTAACTGGCATTCAAACTCGTCCACAACAACATTTGTCTGGATAACATGACCCACCAAGGCATGGTCTGAAAGGCAAAAAAATTTCTTTCTAGTAACTACTAGCTATGCAAAGAGAGTATAAGAATCGGTTGGTTTTGGTTTTCTTTTTTTCGAAGTATTTACTCACCGACTTGAGTTTCAAAAACGCTTCCACAAAAGTCTTTGTTTGTCAGGACAAACGGGATTCCCAAAAGGATGTTAAGAGTAACAGTGGCAAACTGGGTCCGCCATAAAACAGCCATGCTAAAATTGGCCGTTTTATCTTGTCGAGGTGGAGCTCCTTAGTTTTCTTATTGCATATCAGCTTTCTTATATTTGCCTTCCTCTGTAAGCAGAGCGTCATTGACTGACAATTGAAATGCTTATTGTCTATAATTCATGATTCCTTTTTATTCATCGCTTTATTGCTCTTCAGTTTGCATAAAAATTTCTTTTGTTCGTTGCAGTAGTATAAGAGTTTGTTTCTGCTCTCATCATTATCATTGATATTATAATTCGCCAAATCAACAGAGCGGCTTTTGTTTTGAGGAATTTCCAATTAACAGATCGACTTTGCTCACGAAATACATCCACACAGGAAGCCTGACATAATTAATACAAAATGAAATAAAATTGATTTTTTTACTTTATTTTTATTGGCATGGCACGAGAGGACAAAAACTTATACATTTTAACCTTTGAGTAACTTTTTTTCTCTCAATTAAGAAAGTGATCACGAATAGCCGTTCTAAATAATATACTCTTTTTAAACTAAAGAACTATTGGAATGTTGATAGAGTTGCCGAGAACATACCAAAAACGTAATTAACTTGAGACTTAGGTGTACCTAATAATTTGCATTAGGCTACAAACTTTTTGTGAACAGGTAACATCACCAACTCGTGCTTCAACACATTACTTTTGCAGAAACTTAACGGATATATAACGGCCTCGGGCAACATTTTCAAGACCTCAGTCACAGTTTTTCACCATACGAATCGACCCTCAGCCGGTAAATAATATATCTATTTTTTAAAAACCTAAGGAAATTCTTTCCGAAAGAACCCGAATGAAACGGCAAGATCCTCCGTAAACTGATTTGTTAGCGAGTAAATGGTAGTTAAAATTAAGGTGATGCAAATTAAAGAGATAATAACTATCGGCTTGAGGTAGTGACCGGCGTCTTTGCGTAAAAAATACTGCCCAGCCGGAAAAACGAGGTATATTTATGAAAAATGGTAACGGAGTAGGGATGTACTCTGCGACTCACTAAAGCGTTACCGTTGCCCGTGGTCAGAGATAGGAAAATACTACTGACCGGGTAAAGAACCAATCAGATTGCGGGATTCGTTACCATGCCCTCTGAAAAAAAAAATCGATGTCCTACGCGACTACGCGACTAGTCGAGAGCATTAAACAAGAATGCAATATAAACCTTTCAATACCTTACGGAGCCTTTTATGTGACACAGATGAACAGTGTTTTTCGCGCGCCTTGATTGGCTGGTGCGAAAGTGATTAATGAGCAGCAAGAGTTTAATTTTCGACCATTTTCGCGGTACCTTGACAAAGACAAACTAATTCATTAGGCTCTGTGTGCTATGTACTAAAATAATTCTTCACTTCGGTGTCAGTGAAAGTGCTGGATGTTTACTTGGCCGTTTTGCCTCTCTAGCTCCACTTTGGTAAATAATTGTTAATCACTGTTTCAAAAAATTGATTTTAATGTACAGTCGAACCTCAATTATCCGGACCTCGATTATCCGGACTATTCGATTATCCGGACTTTTTTATCTGGTCCCAATTTTTACATGAATATTAATTAGTTGTGATCTTGAAAACTCAAAGTCGCAAAAAGCCCAATAATCCTTTCAAAAGACTGTTAAAACAGCGTATCATCCTGTGCGCTTTTCAAAATTCGAAAGTGCGACGAGACAAAGAAATATTCTGATGCGTTCAGCTGATATCTGATTGGCTCAAAAAATAGAAACTGTTATCTGAAGAGCTTAGAAAAAATGTAAGTTTGTGGTTAAATAGTATGATGAATTTAGATTTGTGTTATTTTTTCGAAGATACCTCGAGTAGGCGAAAATTCTCGATAACCGCAAGACAGTGTTACTTCTTATTCATCAATCTTCTTTCTTTTAAAGTTCAGAAAGATTACAATGTCCTCTGAGCGATGTCAGATTTAGCTGTCGTTTTCATAGCAATAATTTCCTCCGTGTTAACCTCCTCAAACATCATGGGGAATTCTGTCGTTTGTTGTATCATAAGGACGAATCGGGATATGAGGTCAGTGGCCTAACGAGTGTTATGTTAGTGAGTTAGAGCAGGACGTCTGTTTATTTGTAAGGCAAAGTTAAAGGAGAGGTCGTATAACGAGCCAGCAGGGCATTTCTAGCCGCAGTGTATCCTAGTTTAAGAGGCATGAGACGATTGGGAGTATGGCTACTCTACCTCCCTACCCTCTCTAAGTCCAGTCCATCTAAATCTACCACCCAGGCTACCACCCAGGCTACCACCCAGTAGTTAACCCTGTATACTCCTGGGTGGAGAGAGGCATTGTATGAAAGTGTCTACTTTTGAAGAATATTGACGTGCTTGTGAACAGAACAAGGGTTAAGTTCGCTGTTGATATTGGTGTTGATGTCCCTGTTACTTATGATTTGGTTTGTAGCACTGAGCAAATAAGTTTTTATCTTTGAAGAGTAAACGAAGTGAATAGTGTGTTATTTCAGGTTAGTCCGTATAAGGAAGACACAAATTGAAAGTAAATTCTCATTCTTTCTTTTCTTTTCATTTGACACGAGATGAAAAAACTTTTATGGCGTTTCACTCAATCTAGCATAACATAAGAAATCAGCAAGCCACCGGCTGAATTAAAAGTCGATAAAATCATATGGTGACAAGAACTCTTCAATTTTCGATTTGCAGTGTTTGATTAAGGTGCGGATGGGAGTCACGTTTTATTCAGGCCTCATCCTACAGGTCTTGCAGATGAATTTTGCAGCCTGTCCAAAACACCAGACGGCGAATGCAATTCAGCGGCCACACTTAAGGCATGCGCAAATGAGTCAATCTTGGCTGACCGTGCGCCCATTTTTCGTGTAAAATTTAAATAGGAAAATGTAAGTAACGACCATTGTGACTCAAAATTCTGTTCCTAGAGAACTGTAAAGGGAAATGAAAGTAGAGAACAGGAAAACTTAAGACTTTTCGCACGCAAAGGTTATTTGCTTAGAGCTAGAGGTGTCTGGTTGTTTTAAACTCATAAAGGTTATAAGCTTTTAAGACACCGCGGCCCATTGTGAGACAACTTGGTCCTAGCAGCGTGAAAGCGTCTGCGCATGCGCAGAAGTTTGACCGCTGTGTCGGTGAATGTAAACCTACTCCTATTTATAACACGCTATATTTCTTATTCAAAACATGAATGATGATCACCAAAGCAAACCAACATCGATCGCACACTAATAGTGATGCTATTTATATTTCTACTTGCTAAAATACCTAAACTTCATGCAGTGTCGAAAAACCAAAACCAAATAATCACACCAATAATCAGAACAAAGGTTAACTCTTTAACTCCCAGACCAAATTTGTAATTCTCCTTACTGTCAACCATACAATTCAACCATATAATTCTGGATGTCATGGAAATGGAGACAGTGCCCTAACATAATATTTGCCCATTAAAAATTTGTTAAGTGTAACAAAATTAATGTCTTTTAATTTTTGTGATACCTTAACTTTTTAGTTAATATCAATTATCAATCTCGAATAAGCAGGTTATGTAAAATGGGAGACTTCTTGGAAACTCAATGAAAATGAAATTTGTAAATGAAAAAATGAAAAGAAAAAGTCTCCTTTAATTCTCTAGTCAACAGAGCAGGCGTAATATTGGGAACGAGTGCCATCTGCCATCTTTAATTTTCACAGAAATAAAAAGCTGGGGCGAGAAATATTGGGAACTAGTGCTCAGTGTCTTCTCGGTGAACATCCTACCTGCAATCTTTTATTTTAACAAAAACAAAAAAGTGGGGCGAGAAATAAATCGCTCCGAGGGGGTGCGTAATTTTACAAAAAAAGATTCCTTTTAAATTGATCCAAATCCCGTCATACGTTAGCATATGGGAAAGTTCTAAAAATAGTTCATTATTGTGGATTTAAAACTTCGATTTCAATGCCTTAATAATAATGTGTGAGTAAAAATGAAAACATAAATTGAAACTGCCAGCTAAGTTTCGTGTTTATTCCCAACTCTAAGGATCCGCTTTCAGAGGATAAAAAGAAACAAACAAGGTCAAACAAAGCAAAAAATAAATAACAACAAGACAAGCACATCCTTCCTGACAGAGGTAACTATGAATGAAACTCAAATATTGGTTTCATGATGACAAGGATAAAGAGCACCATACACAGCACTAAAATCTGTTGAGCTTAAATTTACTTCGGAAAATAACAACTGCAATAAGTGTTTTAAATTCAAACTCCTTTCGACTCATGTCTACCTAACGTTTCTTGCTTTTTACATACTTTATTGTGTACTTCTTGGCGTAAATTTATCTGAAAACCGTTATGAACAACATTCTCTACAAGACATGTAAGAATACACCTATTTACAGTAAAAAAAAAAGAGATTGAATGATCTTAGCAGGAGTCGCATGGAAGGTTAATTGTGATAAATTGTTATTTTACATTCACAACAAAACTTCATATCCCTGATTGGTCAATGATCGATACAAAATGTGATATGGTATGCCGACATATTGTTATAACAGCAAAACCAGAAAATACTGCGGGCTGCATAAAGAACACGCCCTTGACAACTTGAATGACGTACTTCAGGTGTATATTGCGATTCTTCCTATTCATAACAATACATACAAGTTGAGAAATATTGTTTAAGACGTCCAAAAACAAAGCTTTTTTTCTCGTTTCAGTATTCAGACGCTCAATGTGCGTTTTCAAAAAGGAAATTTGACGTTACCCTCACACTCCTGACAACACTCAGAACACGCTATACAAGCAGGAAAGAAACCTTTCGGTTCGCAGGTTGTTGCAAAACGGGAATTGCAAAATGATGAAGATAGTTAAGACTCGCTTGGAGAAACGTTTGCCCGAGATTTTTAACTGTCTGGTGTTCTGTTTACGAAGTGAACGCCTACTTGTAAGCCAATAACAATTGATTCTCTCAGTTTTCATTGGTCTACAGCAGTAGTTCCGAAACATTGTTCTAGGCAGTGAATAAGATAGGAAAGTTATCACCTGCCTAGCCCAGAACCCACCTGAACAGAGCTATAGTATGTAGATCCTTTCTTCTTTTTAAAATGACCTGGCTTTATCTGCCGTGTTTTATTATTTAACTCACATCTACGTTTTCCATTGTTGTCACCGGGATGAACATTGATAGACTTACAGCTGTTATTTCCCATACATTTTAACTGACATGCAAACTCGTCCACAACAACATTTGTCTGGATAACATGACCCACCAAGGCATGGTCTGAAAGGCAAAAAAGCGTTCTTTGTAGTAACTTCTAGCTAAAGAAAGAGAGTATAAGAATGGTTTTTTTTCATTTTTTTTGTTTTGGTTTTTTTTAAAATATTTTCTCACCGACTTGAGTTTCAAAAACGCTTCCACAAAAGTCTTTTTTTGCCAGGACAAACAGGATTCTCAAAGGGATGTAAAGAGCAACAATCGTAAACTGAGTAAGCCACAAAACAGCCATACTAAAATTGGCCGTTTTATCTTTCCCAGGTGGAGCTCCTTAGTGATCTTATTGCATATCAGCTTTCTTATTTTGCCTTCCTCTGTAAGCAGAGCGTCATTGACTGACAATTGAAATACTTATTATCTATAATTCATGATTCCTTTTTATTCATCGCTTTACTAAAGCAATCTTCAGTTTGCATGAAAATTTCTTTTGTTCGTCACAATACTAGAAAAGTTTGTTTCTATTTTTATCATTATCATTGATATTATAATTCGCTAAATCAACAGAGTGACTTTTGTTTTGGGGAATTTCCAATTAACGGGTCGACTTTGCTCACGAGAAACATCTACACAGGAAGTCTGACATAATTAAAACAAAGTAAAAGAAAATTGATTCTTTCACTTTGCTTTTATTAACATGGCATCGAGAAGAAAAAAACTTATCCATTTCATCCTTTGAATAACTTTTTTTCTCTTAACTAAGTAACAAGTGGATTACATCTATTTAGCTCTGATCACCTTACATCGCGTAAAAGTAACGAATAGCCGTTCAAAATCATACACTCTTTTTAAACTAAACTCAACACATAATCTTTGCAGAAAAGGAACGGATACATATGAGATACCTTTAAACGCTACGTCTGTACGAATTAACATATCTTTTTCTCGTCATTCTCTGCTCTCCGATCGATAAATAGAAAAACAAGGTTAAGTTCCGAATTTCTCTGCCTTGTAACCTATAAAATTAACAAGATCGTTTTATGCTCAACGAGAAAGACGAAATGAAGACACCCCATATTTGCTTCGCCTTTAGCAGCCAAATTAGTTAGAGCTGTATTTTTTTAGCACTCAAGAACTAAAACTGTTCTCGGCTTCGCCTCGAGCAACTCTTACGCTTTTCTCGGGAATGCATCTGTTTAATCATAATTAACAAATAGCCTTGACTGTGCTCTCTTATGTTGTAGATCACGCAGCGGCCGAAGCAAAAAAGAAGTAAGGAGAAAGAATCCTTAAAATTCTCCACAAGTTACTTTCAATTTCCAAAAGTAGGGAGAAAGACTCCTTAAAATTTCCCACACACTACTTTCAATTTTCAAAAGTAGAGAGAAAAAATCCTTAAAACTTCCCACACATTAATTTCAATTTTCAAAACAAAATTTATTGCCAAAGCAAACAACAGTGTCGTTAGCATGCTCGGTGCTGTCATGAAGCACGCTACAATAAGCCAATAGAAATCCTTGTTATAATGGTCCAAATAATCAGATTGGTTGACAAGACTAAAGCTGTCAAAAATGTCAAACCATCCCAGTTCACAATCTGCAATAGTTTACAGACTTAAATAGCTGAGCAGGTCGAATTTACCACTTTTGCCTGAAGTTTTTCTCTAATGTTAGTCTGAAGTTAGTCTCTAATGCAGAAACTGAAACTGAAATGTTCAATAAAATCCAGCCAAATTGTGGCTCATAAAAATACGCAAGCTTTTTTACATAACAATCGGAGAACAAACTGCTCAAGGCGTGTGTTTTATGAATGAACGATAGCCAAATTCACAGCAACATGAAGATTCCTTGGAATGACAGCGCCGTCAAACTCGGCTGCTGTGACTGCTGTGGCTACCCACTCAATGCATCGGAAAGGATATCAGAGCAAGCTCTTAGTTGTTTACTCGAAGGGCGGGCGATGTAATTTCTGAGGCTTTCTTCACTACGATTACCGTAAATTGCCATGATGAGTTAGCCGCGATGGACCTCAGCACGATCGCAGTCGCTCTGAAACCTTCCTTATTAGCATGAAATTTAACAGTTGTGCCAGTTTGGCTATATTTTTCATCATTCCTGTTTTGTTTTGAACACAAAACTCTATATGCTATACCAGTGTTAACTGTGTTATTATCGTACATAAGCTTGCAATCTAACTGAGTAAGAAAACCTTAAAAACTCGGTCTGTTTAGTTTTCGTCTCTGTTTGCGTTGTAATAACGTAAATTACGGCGCTTGGCATGTTTACAAACCTTTTTTTGGTTCTTCGGTTGCTACTTGCCGGCACGTTTGTTCCGAAATTTCACTTTCAATTAACGAAAACAAGCAAGAGAGAAGTCCGCGAAATGGTCAGACATAATACAATTTGGCAGATGGCGTAACAGCTTTAGCTCAGCTCTGTACTCTGGAAGAGCACGCTCTTTCAACCAATGACAGCACGCTCTTTTTCAGTTATTTTTTTAGTCTTTTTTAGTGCTTTTAGGGCTTGTTTTCCTCTTTTTTTTAGAAAAAGCGTTTTTTTTTTTCATTAAACAAAATTGAGCCTAGTCATGTTTTTTTTTTTTTTTTTGAAGGAGTTAGCAAACTTCTCCAAATTTTCACAACATTTCGAAAGCAACCTTAATGGTTCGAATTGTCCGAAGTATTTGATTGACTAATGAGAGAACAGTTGTCAATCATAAAGTAAACCTTACCACCATGTCAATTCCAATTGGCTTTTGGAGTGGAGATCCATCAAGTTCGTTTTATAATTGAATTAAAAAATTACCAAAACTCCATTTCTCTTGTCCGGTGGTATGAAATCCAGCCAAGTTGTGGCTCACGAAAACGTACACTTTTTCGGTAAACAATTACGAAACAAAGAGCTAAAAACTTGCGGATGAAAAATGCAGCAAGATTGACCGAATTTGCGACAGGTGGGAAGATCTGAAAGCTGCCTTTCTGATTGGAGGAAATGTTGGAGCGACCTTTCAGTTGATAACTCGTTAAAAATTCAACTTGACAACAAACGAATATAATCCGTAATCCAATATATTATTATGTATGATATATTGGCTTATTTGTTGTATGTTCAAACACCCGTGAAAACATGCATTTCGGGAAAGAAATATATATAACAAGTTTTATTTGTTCACATCAGATGGTTATTACCAGGCTAAGCCAGACAACTGACAAATAATTTTGCACAATTTTATACAATAAATATTCACCTACAATTACAACATGTGGACATTAATCTTCCTTGCTTACAAACATCTAGGTATTAGGATAATATGTAAAGAGGAAAACTACAGACTAAACATAATTACAGTTAATAATTAATCTTCATCTTATTAATTAGAGTATCTATGTCGACATAGGAGTTTTCAGTTTCTAGAATTTCGATTAATTTTGTTCGAAGTAGAAAATGTTGGGGGAATCTTGTGATCTTGAACAAAGGTACCCTACCTCACAGCCATTGTTCTAGTGTAGTGACGATAGAAACAATAAGCATCAAAGCATATAATTCCTTTTTAAATTGATCCAAATCCCGCCATACGTTAGCACGTGGGGAAGTCCTAAAAATAGTTCATTATTGTTGATTTACGCCTTCGCTTTCAATGCCTTAATAATAATGTGTGAGTAAAAATGAAAACAAAAATGGAAACTGTCAGCTAAGTTTCGTGTTTATTCCCAAGTCTAAGGATCCGCTTTCAGAGGAAAAAAAAACCAAACAAATCAAAACAAAGCAAAAGATAAATAACAACAAGATAAGCACATCCTTCGTGATGGAGGTAACTATGAATGAACTGAACTATTGGCTTCATGATGACAAGGCTAAAAGAGAATCATACACAGCACTACATCTGCGATGAACATCAACATTTCCCATAAGACATGTAAGAATACACCTATTTACAGGAAGGTTAATTGGACTGATAAATTATAATATCATATTCACAACAAAACATCTCTCCCTGATTGGTCAATGATCGATACAATATGTGTTATAGTATGCCGAATTATTGTTATAACAACAAAACAAGCAAAGAGTGCGCGCTGCATAAACTACACGCCCGCTTCCTATCCAGAATAATACCTATAAGTTGAGAAATAATGTTTAAGACATCCAACAAAACCCAATTCCCGAGAGAGGCCAGACGGTTCCTGAGAATACAACAATAGTGCCTTTAGATACGCTGTTAGTAAGTTTTGTTTTGTCAAGGTGTTAAGAGGATAAGTTGATTCAAAGATGTGTAAAATTAACTCGTTTATCAGAAGATGACTTGTACATTAAATATGAGGAGATCACCTTTTTGGAAAAAGAAAAAATTTTCGACAGGTGCAAAAATCTTAAGCTAAAAGTTTATGATGCTGTAATCTTAACGTGTTTTCGTTTTCTGCTTCAGCGCCAGTTACGGGGAGTTTCCACTAAAGAGACGCAAAGCGTTGTATTAATTAACGGACATAAATCTTCCAAAAGTCGCCGCACGACAATTCGTTCGCCATGTCATCACATTCCCATCTGTTACTGCCTGGCCACGTGACCCAATGATAGTGGTTCGGAACGAATGCTGAGTATATATACAGCTCCTTTTGCCCCTCATGTCCCCATTTTCCAACACGATACGTGCCGTTTTCCTTGCCCCATTCTGCGCATTTATTTGCAAGGACTGAGTTGTCTCCCTTGAGTTTCTCAAATGAGCCACAGGCTTTGGGAAAAACGTCGGTATCACCGCAGAAAAACCCGACTACAGCTTCACCAGAACTGTTGGCGGCTGTTTTGACATGAAACGTTCGTCCATGTTGCTGTTTACGGCAGTGGAATCTCAGCTGAGTGAAAGATATGCGGGATCTCAGCTCTTGCATACCTTCAGGAGAGAGAACCATTCTGTTGCTGCTGTAGCGACTGACTCCTGCATATGTCTTTTCAATATTCAACTTGGTGGGGGGCACAGTTCCTCCAGCAATAACGTTATAGATTAGGAGCCAGCCTCCTGCCAAATATTAAAAAAAATGTGAACCGCGTTTCTTCGTTGACCGGAAAGAGCTCTTCCACGACCCACTGTTGTTTTTACAATAAAAAATGGCCATGGCCGAGAAGAAAAGATAGTAGAATTGTTTTTTTCGCTTGTTATAACCTCAGTGGCTCCAGATTGAAACCCTGCTTTGACCACAAACTGGAGTTTTTCGCTGTTTTTCAGCTCCTGCTACTCTGAAGGAGTCTTAAAAAAATCCTGCTGGTTTGGTTCCAGCCTTTTGGAACTTTCACTTGAAATGCAGGCCACACCTTAAACTCCTACCCTAAAACAGATGTTTTTGTTTTGTCTTCTTTTGTCCGTAGCATTCTTTGAATATTTTTCTGTATTTAATCATTTTTCAGTATATTTTGGTTTTTTTTTTTTTTTTATTTCTTCCCAGGTTTAAATACCACAAGCGTTTACCTCTGCAGCTTTGCTGTTCAATACACAGTCAAAATTGCGGAAAAGAGTTATTTGCAGTGCTTACCTCCATCAGTTGTCATGTCACAAAATACTTTTAAAGAACTTCCATTTTTCTCAGGGTCGATCCAGTACTCCCCGTCTCCTTTTGAGTCTCCAGCTTCCAAAATCTGCTTGCAGGACAGAGCAGGATGACGGGAAGACCAGCCAGGTACAAATATGTTTTATTTTTTAGTGTCATGGTTTAGGGTCAATTGCCAAATAATTTCGCTTTGAAGAATAGTTGTGCTATGTTTTTATCCATTCGGACCATCTTGGTCGCGGATGGCTGTTCTTGGTCAGCAGGGTAATATAGACATGGAGGATGTGAGATATTTAGGACCATTTACTTATGCAGTCAAACGTAAATTTCTTCTTGGTGTAGCTGTACCGAATGAGATGTGAATCACGACACACCCGTGTATGTGTTTCTGTCTGTTTCTGTTTTTTCACTCGCAGGTACAATAAAAAATTTGCATGGTAAGGGCTTAGGGAAGTTGAAAACATGGAGTGTTTCTCACGTGTTAGGCAGCCTTTCCCTTTGCGTCCTGGATGACAATGGCCGGAGTTTCTCGCTGCTTTCTCATCGTGAAAAACTTTAATGCAGGAAATCTACGTTGAAAAAGATTCGGAACATATTATACCGGTCAAATGTGATTATTAAATGTCTCCAAATATTTGGTGAACAGTTTTAAACATTTTTTCAAGTTTTTCGAAGTTTTTATGTACTTTGATGACGTTTTTATGTTCAAATAATCAAATATTGCAGTCACGGTTGCAAGTTTTCATGTATTTTGATGACGTTTTTATGTTGAACTAATCAAATATTGCAGTCACGGTTGCAGATTTCTAATAGTTAATTCCGATTCATTTCTCCTTCAAGTTCAAAGCAACTAAATAATTTGAAAAGGAAATTTTGCACATTTCTCGGGAACCGAAGTATTTTCACTTCTAAGTTTCAATTGAATTGTATTTTTGGGAAACTTGCCGATCATAAATAACTGAGAAACTCTTTCTAAAAGTCAGAAGATAGATGGATGCATTGAGACAGAGAACTGACTTCAGTAAACTTTGTTTAAACAAAGAAATTCCATCTAACCAGTTTCATTGTTTAACTGCAAAAATAATTCGTCGATTGATTTCCTCGCACGAAATAAATATCGATGACAAGGTAAACACTAAACACGAAGAAATCGTATTTTGTCATTCGAACTTTGTTGAAAAAGTTAAAAAAAACAAACAAACAAAAATATATATTTCCCATCGTATTTTTCCATTCGAACTTTCTTGAAAGAGCCAAAAAAACAAAAATATATGTATTTCAGTAGTCAAAGAGCGAAAACGCGACTTCGTGAAACGGGAGTTGTCAAGATCGCCGATTAATGAATTTAAGTATGAACCAAGAAAACGTAATTTAAAGGAATTCACGCAAACAACTGAACTTACCTGCACCAAACCGTAGTAAGTAGATCCTCTCCTCTTTTTAAAATCAGCTGCTTTCATCAGTCGAGTTTTGTCGTTCAGCTCACAAATTACATCGTTTTCCTCCAGGTAAACGTTACACGATTTACAGCGGCTTTCCTTCTCAGCACATTTCTCCTGGCATTCAAATTCGTTTTTAACAACACTCTTTTCCATGAAATTACCAACAAAAATATGATCTAAGAGTTATGAGTACAAGAAAATCTTAGATCCTCAAATTTTTTTCAAAGCTGTAAAAAAGGAAATATTGCCTCATTGCAATCACTATTCAGCTTCAATGACAATTAATTCAATGTTGATATGAATAAAATTTGAAAACATTCGGGAAAATTGTATTTTCGTTATTTTAATCAGCTGGGATTTTTAGCCTCGCTTTGTTTCATACAATTGGAACTGAATCTATTTAAGATATTCTCACTGATTTCCACGGCCTCATCAACCTGATGTGCTTTGAATACTGTTGATGATAACAAATCATTATTTTTTCATTATTTACGGATTTTTTCCCAGTGCTCTTTGTTTAAGTTTTGGAACAATCTACAGCATTACTTCTCATTTTGGATTCTTTTTCAATCCTCCAAGAGTTGATAACATTCGTACATTCTCTTCTTCATTTGATTGGATGACTAAACTCGAAAGCGGAACGACTCTCTACAGGAGACTTTGCACTTTAAAGCCAATTTAATTTGCTGATACAATGTAGTACATCAAGATATTGAATAAAGTTACCCAAACGATTTGCAAGTTACAACCTTGAGTACTATGAGAAAATTGTAATGTCCAACTTTCAGTACCTGCAGAACATTGCCAACTTTAAGAACTTGCGCCTGAATTAACTTAATGAAGTCTTCCTCTAATCGACAATATTTTGAAAGATAATTTACTATTTGACATAATGCAACTTCTTAAATAGTAGTACTGAATGCTAGCGTCTCAAAAGTAAATAGAAAATGCTCTAGAACGCAGAAGTGACGGCAAAGTTATCAACGGACATAAATTCTCCAGAAGCCACAAGATGCAGCAATATTCTCCAAAGTATCATCACATTGCCATACGTTAGAACCTGGCCAAGTGATCCAACAATAGCTACCCACAATGAATGCTGAGTATACAGACAGCATCTTATGCCCTTCATGTCCCCATTTTCCAACACGATACGCGCCCTTTTCCATCCCCCATTCTACTTAAGGCATGCGCAAATGAGTCAATCTTGGCTAACCGTTCGCCCATTTTCGTGTAAAATTTAAATAGGAAAACATAAGTAACGACCATTGTGACTCAAAATTCAGTACCTAGAGAATTGTAAAGGGAAATGAAAGTAGAAAACAGGAAAAATTAAGACTTTTCGCAGGCAAAGGTTATTTGCTTAGAGGTGTCTGGTTGTTTAAAATCATTGTGAGACAACTTGATCCTAGCAGTGTGAAAGTGTCTGCGCATGCGCAGAAGTTTGACCGCTGTGTCGGTGAATGTAAACCTACTCCTATTTATAACACGCTATATTTCATATTCAAACGTGAATTATGATCGCAAAAGCGAACGAATATCGATCGCACACAATTAGTGATGCTATTTATATTTCTACTTGCTAAAATACCTACACTTCATGCAGTGGCAAAAAACCAAAACCAAAATAATCACACCTAACAATCAGAACAGAGGTTAACTCTTTAACTCCCAGACCAAATTTGTAATTCTCCTTACTTTCAACCATACGATTCAACCATATAATTCTGGATGTCCTGGAAATGGAGACAGTGCCCTAACATAATATTTGCCCATTAAAAATTTGTTAAGTGTAACAAAATTAATGTCTTTTAACTTTTGTGATACCTTAACTTTTTAGTTAATATCAATTATCAATCTCGAATAAGCAGGTTATGTAATGGGAGACTTCTTGGAAACTCAATTAAATAATATTTGTACATGAAAAAAGGAAAAAAAAGCTTCCTTCAATTCTCTAGCCAACAGAGCAGGCGAAATATTGGGAATGAGTGCTCAGTTTCTTCTCGGTGAACATCCTACCTGCAATCTTTTATTTTAACAAAAACAAAAAGGTGGGGCGAGGAATAAATCGCCCTAAGGGGGTGAGTAATTTTACAAGAAAAGATTCCTTTTAAATTGTTCCAAATCTCGCCATACGTCAGCATGTGGGGAAGTCCTCAAAATAGTTCATTATTGTTGATTTATGCCCTTACTTTCAATTCCTTAATAATAATGTATGAGTAAAACTGTCAGCTAAGTTTCGTGTTTATTCCCAAGTCTAAGGATCCGCTTTCAGAGCAAAAAATTAACAAACAAATTAAACAAAGTTGAAAATAAATAACAACGAGATAAGCACATCCCTCCTGATGGAGGTAACTATGAATAAACTGAACTATTGGTTTCATGATGACAAGGCTAAAAGAGAATCATACACAGCACTACAATCTGTTGAGTTTAAAGTTACTTTGGAAAATAGCAACTGCAACAAGTGCTCTAAATTCCAGCTCCTTTCCACTCATGTCTACCTAACGTTTCTTGCTTTTTCAATACTTCTTTGTGTACTTCTTGACGTTAATTTATCTGAAAAACCGCGATGAACACCAACATTTTCTATAAGACATGTAAGAATATACATATTTATAATAAAAAAAAAAGATTGAATTATCTTATCAGGAGTCGCATGAAAGGTTAATTTGACTGATACATTGTTATTTTATATTCATAAAGAAACGTCTCATCTCTGATTGGTCAATGATCGATAAAAAGTGTGTTATAGTATGCCGAATTATTGTTATAAAGCAAAACCAGCAAAGAGTGCGGGCTACATAAAGTACACACCCCTGACAACTTGAGTGACGTGCTTCAGGTGTATATTGGTTTCTGATTCTTCCTTTCCATAACAATACATACAAGTTGAGATATAATGTTTAAGACGTGCAACAAAACAACGGATTTTCGACAGGCGCAAAAACCTTGAGCTAAGAGTTCAAGATGCTCTAATCTTAACGTATCTTCGTTTGCTCCTTTAACACCAGTTACGAGAGTTTCCACTAAAGAGTCGCAAAGTGTTGCATTAATTAACGGACATAAATTTTCCAAAAGTCGCCGCGCGACAAATCTTTTGCCATGTCATCACATTCCCATCTGTCATGGCCTGGCGACGTGACCCAATGATGGTAATATGCAATGAATGCTGGGTACAAATGCAACCCCTTATGCCTTTCATCTACCCATTTTCCAACGTGATACACGCCGTTTTCCCTCCCCCATTCTGCGCATCTACTTGCAAGGACTGAGTTGTCTCCCTTCAGTTTCTCAAATGAGCCACAGGCTTTGGGAATAACGTCAGTATCACCGCCGAAAAACCCGACTACAGCTTCACCAGAGCCGTTCGCGGCCGTTTTGACATGAAATGTTCGTCCATGTTGCTGTTTACGGCAGTGGAATCTCAGCTGAGTGAAAGATACGCGGGATCTCAGCTCTCGCATACCGTCAGGAGAGATAACCATTCTGTTGTTTCTGTAACGACTGACTCCTGTATATGTCTTTTCAATGGTCAAGCTGGTCGGGGCACAGTTCCTCCAGCAATAACGTTATAGATCAGGAGCCAGCCTCCTGCCAGAAATTAAAAAAAAATGAGAATCACATTTCTTGGGAGACCGCAATCATGTCTTCCATGACCCTCTGTTGTTCTTACAATAAAAAAGGTGGGCTACTTCGAGTTATGCCATTACACCACGGCGCAAAGGTATGGTCTCTCCCCCCTACCAGCCTTATCTACTTAGAGAAGACAAGATAGCAGAATAGTTTTGCTCGCTTGTTATGACCTCAGTGGCCCCAGATTGAAACCCTGCTTCGACCACGAGCTGGAGTTTTTCTCTGTATTTCAGTTCGTACTACTCTGCAAGTGTTTGGCTCCAGCTTTTTGAAACTTTCACTTGAAATGCGGGCCTCACCTTAAACTCCTCCCCTAACGCAAATGTTTTCGTTTGTCCACGTTTTTCAGTAGCATTCTTTGAATGTTTTTTCTGTATTTAATTATTTTGCAGTATGTTTTGTTTTTTTTTTCCTCGGGCTCAAACACCCCGACGGTTTTCCCCTGCAGCTTTGCTCTTCTATACACGGCCAATATTGCAGAAAAGAGTTATTTACAGTGCTTACCTCCATCAGTTGTCATGTCACAAAATACTTTTAAAGAACTTCCATTTTTCTCAGGGTCGATCCAGTACTCTCCGTCTCCTTTAGAGTTCCCAGCTTCCAAAATCTGCTTGCAGGACAGAGCAGGATGACGGGAAGACCAGCCAGGTACAGCTGCGAAATTAAATATGTACTATTCTTTAATGTCGTGGTTTAGGGTCAATTACCAAATAATTTCGGATGTCCTTACAGGAATTACCAGGCTGATTGAAATATAAGCCTCTGGTAGCTGAAAAGGAAATGAGCTTTGATCTTGATGGGTTTATTAATCCTCACACACCAGTTAAGACGCTGAAAAAAGGTAAAAAGCTATGCGCAAACTTGCACATGGCTGTCCGCATTTATCTTCAGAAATGGGTTTTAAAAGGAGTTTTCAATTGAAAATTCACACTATCCTCATAGCACTTAATAGTCATGTATTTCGTTTAACAACGTCTAAAGTAGAACTTTTCTAGAACAGTCTCACCACTTACGTGTTTCACAATGTTTTCCTTTGTATTCCGGATGACACTGGCCGCTTTTAGTTGTTTGTTTTCGCCCGCGAGAAATATCCAAGCAGGAGGCCTGATTAGTAAAACAGAAAGGTGAACTTTTTTCTTCACGTTCTGCCTTCGATCGTTGTTCAGAGTAAACAAAGCTTGTTTTCTCGTTATCAGTATTCAGACGCTTAATGTGCGTTTTCAAAAAACAACGTTGCCCTTACACTAATGTCAACACTCAGAAGATGCTATACAAGCAGAAAGGAAACCTTTTGGTTCTCGCGTTGTTGCAAAACGGGAATTGCAAAATGATGAAGATAACTAAGACTCGCTTGGAGAAAAGTTTTCCCGAGATTTTTAACTGTCTGGTGTTCTGTTTACGAAGTGAACGCCTATTTATAAGCCAATAACAATTGATTCTCCCAGTTTTCATTAGTATATAGCAGTAGTTCCGAAACATTGTTCTTGGCAGTGAATTACATAGGAAAGTTATCAACAAACCTGCTCAACCTAGAACCCACCTGAACAGAGCTATAGTATGTAGATCCTTTTTTCTTTTTAAAATGACCTGGCTTCATCTGCCGTGTTTTATTATTCAACTCACAGCTACGTTTTCCATTGCTGTCACCGCGATGAACATTGATCGACTTACAGCTGTTATTTCCCATACATTTTAACTGGCATTCAAACTCGTCCACAACAACATTTGTCTGGATAACATGATCAACCAAGGCATGGTCTGAAAGGAAAAAAGCGTTCCCTGTAGTTATTAGCTAAAGAAAGAGAGTATAAGAATGGTTTTTTTTAATTTTTTTTGTTTTGGTTTTTCATTTTAAGTATTTACTCACCGACTTGAGTTTCAAAAACGCTTCCACAAAAGTCTTTGTTTGCCAGGACAAACAGGATTCCCAAAAAGATGTTAAGAGTAACAATCATAAACTGGGTAATCCATAAAACAGCCATACTAAAATTGGCCGTTTTTATCTTTCCCAGGTGGAGCTCCTTAGTGATCTTATTGCGTATCAGCTTTGTTATATTTGCCTTCCTCTTTAGGTAAGTAGGCGTCATTGACTCACAATTGAAATACTTATTATCTATAATTCATGATTCCTTTTTATTCATCACTTTATTGCTCTTCAGTTTGCATGAAAATTTCTTTTGTTCGTCGCAGTAAGAGAAAAGTTTGTTTCTACTTATATTATTATCATTGATATTATAATTCGCCAAATCAACAGAGTAACTTTTGTTTTGAGGAATTTGCAATTAACGGGTCGAGTTTGCCCACGAGAAACATCCACGCAGGAAGTCTGACATAATTAAAACAAAATAAAAGAAAATTGACTTTTTCACTTTGTTTTTATTTTACATGGCATCGAGAAGACAATCCATTTCATCCTTTGAGTAACTATTTTTCTCTTAATTTATTAACAAGTGGATGACATCCATTTAGCTCTGATCACCTTATATCGCATAAAATTAACGAATAGCCGTTCAAAATCATATCCTCTTTTTAAACTAAAGAACTATTGAGATCGTCGATACAGATGCCGAGAACATACCAAAAACGTAATTATCCCGAGAGTTAAAGATGAAGCGTACCTACTAATTTGCATCAGGCTGCAAACTTTTTGTGAACAGGTGACATTACCAACTCGTGCCTCAACACATAATCTTTGCAGAAAAGGAATGGATATATATAAGACACCTTTCAACGCTACTTCTGCTCTCGGATCGATAAATAGAAAAGAAAGGTTAAGTTCCAAATTTCTCTGCCTTGTTACTCATAAAATTAACAAGATGGTTTATGCTCAGTGGGGAAGACGAAATGAAGACCTCCCATATTTGCTTCGCCTTTAGCAGCCAAATTAGTTAGAGCTATATTTTTTTAGCACTCAAGAACTAAAACTGCTCTCGGCTTCGCCTCAAGCAACTCTTACGCTTTTCTCGGGAATGCATCTGTTTAATCATAAATAACAAATAGAGTAGCCTTGACTGTGCTCTGTTATGTTGTAGATCACGCAGGAAGCGGCCAAGGCACGAAAGAAGTAGGGAGAAAGAATCCTTCAAATTTCCCACAAATTACTTTTAAAACAAAATTTATTGCCAAAGCGAACAACAGTGTCGTCAGCATGCTCCGTGCTGTCATAAAGCACGCTACAATAAGCCAATAGGAATCCTTGTTATAATGGTCCAAATAATCAGATTGGTTGACGAGACTAAATCTCTCAAAAATATCAAACCATCACAGTTCACAACCATCAAAGTTCACAATCTGCAATATTTTACAAACTCAAATAGTTGGGCAGGTCGAATTTACCACTTTTGCCTGAAGTTTTTCTCTATTGTTAGTCTGAAGTTAGTCTCTGATGCAGAAAATGAAACTGAAATGTTCAGTGAAATCCAGCCAAATTGTGGCTCATAAAAATACGCAAGCTTTTTTACATAACAATCAGAGAACAAACTGTTTTATGAATGAACGATAGCCAAATTCACAGCAACATGAAGATTGCTTGGAATGACAGTGCCTTCAAACTCGGCTGCTGTGACTGCTGTGGCTATCCACTCAATGCATCGGAAAGGATATCAGAGCAAGCTCTTAGTTGTTTACTCGAAGGGCGGGCAAGGCTTCCTTCACTACGATTACTGTAAATCGCCGTGATGAGTCAGCTGCGATGGACCTCAGCATGATCGCAGTCGCTCTGAAACCTTCCTGATTAGCATGAAATTTAACAGTTGTGCCAGTTTGGCTATATTTTTCATCATTCCTGTTTTGTTTTGAACACAAAACTCCATATGCCATACTAGTGTTAACTGTGTTTGATTTACATTATCGTACATAAGCCTGCAATCTAACTGAGTAAGAAAACCTTAAAAACTCGGTCTGTGTAGTTTTCGTCTCTGTTTGCGTTGTAATTACGTAAATTACGGCGCTTGGTATGTTTACAAACCTTTGTTTGGTTCTTCGATAGCTGCTTGCCGGCTTGTTTGTTCCGAAATTTCACTTTCAATTAACGAAAAAAAGCAAGAGAGAAGTCCGCGAAATGGTCAGACATAATACAACTTGGCAGATGGCGTGACAACTTCTGTACTCTGGAAGAGCACGCTCTTTCAACCAATGACAACACGCTCTTTTTCAGTTAATTTTTTAGTCCTTTTTAGTGCTTCTGAGGGCTTGTTTTCCTCTCTTTTTTGGAAAAAGCGTTTTTTTTTTCATAAAACAAAATTGCGAGTCTAGTCATGTTTTTTTTCTTTTTTGAAGGAGTGAGTAAACTTCTCAAAATTTTCACAACATTTCGAAAAGCAATCTTAATGGTTCGAATGGTTTGAAGTATTTGATTGGCTAATGAGAGAACAGTTGTCAATCACAAAGTGAACCTTACCATCATGTCAATTCCAATTGGCTTTTGGAGTGGAGACCCATCAAGCTCGTTTTATCATTGAATTAAAAAGTTAACAAAACTTCATTTCTCTTGTCCGGTGGTATGAAATCCAGCCAAGTTGTGGCTCAAGAAAATGTGCACTTTTTCGGCAAACAATTACGAAACAAAGAGCTAAAAACTTGCGGATGAAAAATGCAGCAAGATTGACCGAACTTGTGACAGGTGGGAAGATCTGAAAGCTGCCTTTCTGATTGGAGGAAATGTTAGAGCGACCTTTCAGTTGATAGCTTATTAAAAATTCAACTTGACAACATACGAATATAATCCATAATCCAATATATCATTATGTATGATATATTGGCTTATTTGTTGTAGGTTCAAACACCCGTGAAAACATGCATTTCGGGAGAGAAATATATATAACAAGTTTTATTTGTTCACATCAGATGGTTATTACATGCATAAGCCAGACAGTTGACATACATATTCACATACAATTACAACATGTAGACATTAATCTTCCTTGCTTACAAATATCTAGGTATAATATGATAATAGGATAATATGTAAAGAGGAAAACTACAGACTAAACATAATTACAGTTAATAATTAATCTTCATCTTATTAATTAGAGTATCTATGTCGACATAGGAGTTTCAGTTTCTAGAATTTCGTGGAAAATGTTGGGAGAATCTTGTGATCTTGAAAAAGGTACCCCACCTCACAGCCATTGTTCTAATGTAGTGACGATAGAAACAATAAGCATCAAAGCATATAATTCCTTTTAAATTGATCCAAATCCCGCCATACGTTAGCATGTCAGAAAGTCCTAAAAATAGTTCATTATTGTTGATTCAAACCTTCGCTTTCAATGCCTTAATAATAATGTGTGAGTAAAATTAAAACAAAAATGGAAACTGTCGGCTAAGTTTCCTGTTTATTCCCAAGTCTAAGGATCCGCTTTCAGAGGAAAAAAAAACCAAACAAATTAAAACAAAGCAATAGATAACTAACCACAAGATAAGCAAATCCTTCCTGGTGGAGGTAACTATGAATGAACTGAACTATTGGCAACTAGTGCTCTAAATTCCAGCTCCTTTCCACCCATGTCTACCTAAAGTTTCTTGTTTTTTACATATTTCATTGTGTACTTCTGGCGTTAATTTATCCGAAAATCCACGATGAACAACATTCTCTATAAGACATATAAGAATACATCTATTTACAATGAAAAAAGATTGAATGATCTTATCAGGAGTATGGGCTGCATAAAGTTCACGCCCCTGACAACTTGAATGACGTGCTTCGGGTGTATATTGCGATTCTTCCTATCCATAATAGTACATACAACTTGAGAAGTAATGTTTCAGACATGCAAAAAATACCAATTCCCAAGAGAGGCCCGACGGTTTCTGAGAATACAACAATAGTCCCTTTGATACGCTGTTACTTACTGCGAAGGTGTTCAGAGGGTAAGTTACTTCAAGATCTTTAAAATGAACCTGTTTATTAGAAGATAACTTGTTTATTAAATATGAGGAGGTTTTTAATATATTACAGTAAAGTTTTGTTTTGCCTAGGTGTTAAGAGGATATGTTTATTCAAAGATCTTTAAAATGAACTTTTTTATCAGAAGATGACTTTTTTATTAAATATCAGGAGGTTACCACTTATGAATAAAGGATGGATACAGAAAGTTTCTAAACTTCTCACATCGTAGTACCGAATGCCTGTGTCTCAAAAGTAAATATTAAATGTTTTAAAAGGCAGAAGAAACAGCAAAGTTATCAACGGACGTAAATTCTCCAGAAGTCACCGGATGTAACAATTTTCTCAAAATTATCATCACATTGCCAAGCGTTCGAACTTGGCCAAGTGATCCAATGATAGCTACCCACAACGAATGCTGAGTATATATACAGCTCCTTATGCCCTTCATGTCCCCATTTTCCAACACGTATCGCACCGTTTTCCGTCCCCCATTCTACGCATCTACTTGCAAGGATTGAGTTGTCTCCCTTGTGTTTTTCATTTAGATTTGTGTTATTTTTTCGAAGATACCTCGAGTAGGCGAAAATTCTCGATAACCGAAAGACAGCGTTACTTCTTATTCATCAATCTTTTCTCTTTTAAAGTCCAGAAAGATTACAATGTCCTCTGAGCGATGTCAGATTTAGCTGTCGTTTTCATAACAATAATTTCCTCCGTGTTAACCTCCTCAAACATCATGGGGAATTCTGTCGTTTGTTGTATCATAAGGACGGGATATGGGATATGAGGTCAGTGGCCTAACGAGGTCAGTGGCCTAACGAGTGTTATTTTAGTGAGTTAGAGCAGGACGTCTGTTTATTTGTAAGGCAAAGTTAAAGGAGAGGTCGTATTACGAGCCAGCAGGGCATTTCTAGCCGCAGTGTATCCTAGTTTAAGAGGCATGAGACGATTGGGAGTATGGCTACTCTACCTCTCTACCCTCTCTAAGTCCAGTCCATCTAAATCTACCACCCAGGCTACCCAGGCTACCACCCAGTAGTTACCCCTGTATACTCCTGGGTGGAGAGAGGCATTGTATAAAAGTGTCTACTT